TTGGAAAGAGGACACTTTTATTAACACTTTGGGAAATTTTCATACTCATATTCCAAGAACTGGATTTTATACGAATTTTTAAAACTTAATCGGCGAAAATTGCAAAATTCCAAAAAATTGTCGATCATTTCAAAAATGTATTTCTCTAAAACTAAAAGCGATTTTTCAAAACGGCTTGTGGCATTAAAAAGAGGATACTTTAATTAATATTTGGTGGTATTTCCACAAGGATCCTTCAAGAAATGAATTTTATAGCGAATTTTGAAAATTATCGATAAAAATTGCAACATCGAAAATTTTTTCAAAACTTCAAATATTGTTTTCCTATCTAAATCGTTTGTAAAATCCTGTCTAATTAGAGGCTAATTTCACATAGATGTTTATAATAATAATTTATTATTATAAACTAAAAAAATTATATAATTTATTTAAACGATTTTATTTTTTAATTTTAATTTACCTGTATTTGTGACTGATATGTATTATCATTATTTCCACTGTTATTTTTCGATAAAATTAATCTTCCCAATTTTGGTGATGTTACTTTTTCTCTGTTCGATTTATAAAATAAATTCATAAAACCTCCCCCACCTTTATGATTTTTCTCATCCAAATTTAATTCAAACGCTAATTTAGGATTTAATTTTGATTTATCGTCACTTAAAGGAACCGTCATCGGAGTGTATTGTATTGCAGATTTTAATTTAGAATTAGCAACATCTTTATTGTATTCATCTTCATTATCTTCGACTTTCGCAAGCGACCTACATGAATCTGAATATTGTTTTGCGGTGTTTGATATAGCTTGATCGTATGTGGGATGAATTTTATGTGCTCTTGGTAAAGAGCGGTTATTTTTTAAATCTTGGTGTTTACTTTTTGGATAAGTCGACATGTTAAAATCGGAATCGTCGATTTTCGAGGATTTCTTTCCGAAACAAAACGATGTGGAATCGTTTTTTTTCTCTGAAAAGCTGTTTTTCTTTTTTAATTCGACTTTTTCTTTTGGTCGTATTGGGACTTCGCCGTAAACGACGTCCGGTTTTATTAAATCTATATTAATGGCTTCGTTTAAGTGTGGTTGATTAATTTTTTGTTCTTCTTGTTGTTTTTTCATTAATTCTTCTAAGGTCATACAACCAGCGAAATTATCCCTTGTGTGATGCGACCCAAGAAATGACGCATTAAATTCGTTTAAATTATATAAACTAGGATTGCTTGCGTGACTAAAATTCTTTGTTTTATTTTTATTCATTGTTAGTAACGATGTTTTTGGAAGTTCAATAACTAAATTTGGGACGCTCACGTTTTGCGGGGACGAAAAATTCGTCGCAAAATTAGGAATATGCGAAGTAAAATTCCCTGTTGATACACTTTCCATTGGAGTCGTTAATATTTTACGGTACGAACGAAATTGAGCCGTAGGAATCGGAACTGAAGATTTCGAACTTGTCGATTTATTAAAAAACCATTTACGATCTAAGCTATGCGAAGTGTCATTATTTTTTTTCGAAGTAAACTTTTTTAGCGAACCAAACTTTTTAATACCATCACCGGGAGATTTTTCTGTTGGAGATTTTGGTTTTTCTGTGTCTGAATCGTCCGTTTCTGAATACAGAACGGATTCGTCGGGTTTTGCCAAATCGGATCTTAAAATCGCGTCGGATATCATTTCCATCCAGCCGCTCATTGTTTCTTGAGTTTCGGCGGAAAAATAAAAGATTGTTCCTGTATAATAAACTTTGAAAGCGTACGATTTTGATTTTACTTCTGAAGCTAGGGAAACAGTAAATCCCGTGAGGTAGATTAAAACGTTAGCTTTGGTTGCTTCTTTTGATGTAAATCCATATAAACGATTACCGATTAATATAAACCAAAGTTTATCCCAATATGCTGCTTGACCATCTTTTGGACGAAATCTTTGAAATAGATATCCTTCCATATCTCCTGGTGTTACATCAGCAACTGATACTTTTCTTTTCCCTTTACAAAAAAACAAAAATTAAATATTATTGAAGATATTATAAAAATATTATAATAAATCAAAATAAACTCACAAAATAGTATATTATTATATGAGCATATAATGAGGGCTATTATTCACTAAGGTTAAGTTTATGTCACGAGCGTAGCGAGTGAATAATAGCTCATTCTATAGCATACTCTACTCATATGTGAGTAGAATACTATACTTTGTCTACGACTATTGAAATTGATTCAATAAATTATTTAAATAAATTTTTTAAAAGTTTAAACGTCAAATGTGACACAAATTCAACGTTACTAACTGTAACTAACTTCACAACAATTTGTCAAAATTAAATGTCAATTTCGTCGTTTTTTTTTTTACGAAAATTAATTAATTTATGCTTAAATCATACAAAAAACGGAATTTGTTTAGGATAATATAAAACCTTTAGAAACTCCTAAAAAATTGAATTAAATTGACGTTTTTTGAAATTTTTACGTTTTATAGATATTAATTAATTAGTTGCAAGTTCAATAAAAATGTTATAATCCCAAACATATTTTGATATGTAATTTAGTTCAATTTAATACCATAATAACTTAAAAATCATATGTCTTGACCAACTTGCTAAGTTGAGCGACACAATCTTGTCAATTTTTTGTTGTTATCAATATACAGTTAAATGTTTTTATAAGAAAGCTGGTGTTCTGGTGCTTAACAAGATTTGCTTGGAGAGGTTCTTTCAACGATCTCATCACCTTTCTTATCCTACATTGTATGTCGAAGCATCAATATCCTCTTTGTAATATACAGTGTGTTTGATTGTATGTCGAAATCCCACCATAAGATGGCATTAGCGTCTATACTGAAATAATTTAATTAAACTAACAATTTTATTATTAATAGTGGGAATGATGAGAGACAGCAATAACAATTATTACCAGTATCATTCTTTTAATTTAAAAAGTACAGATTTCAATTCGTGTTATATTTTTAAATTTGCCGCTAACTTCAACTTATAAAATTATAAAGTTGAAGTTTGTTCAGAATGACAGATGAAAACGTCATTTTAAAGTGATTTTTCGGTAAGAGTATATTAAAGTAATAATGGTATGATTAAATAATTAGATTATAATTGACATTATAGCTTTGTTTCAGCTAACGTTATAAGTTGTTGAAAGCTGAATCTGACGATGCAATCTCACATCTCATATGATGCAATGATATTCCAATGTGCGGCATTATTTGACAGGTGTAATTGCATCTGAGGGATTCCCAACCAGTCGGAACGTTAATTGGAGCCACATAGTGGCTCCAAACACTTTCCAAACAGTTATTCTGTGGTTGGAGCTTTTATATATAAAGCCAATCCAACCTATATTCTAGTGGTTCTGTTCTTAGCTATAATTCCAAAATATCCCCAACAGATGGCGCCATATGCGTTCAATTTTTAATACGAAGTTTTTGTTTAGAGAGTTGCGAAGCTATTTTCTATGCCACAGATATATCGACTATTGTTGGAGATATGATAAAATGTTATAGACGTTGCTCCTTACTGGCTAGTTAATGGGGCCAACATTTCCAATTCATTTAGTACTAAACTACTCCAGGTGCTCTATTCAAATAATCTTCGAATTCTGTCAGAAAAAAATTGACATATCGTTCTGCTTCAAGCGTTATGCATTAATAGAAAATCTGTGTTGAAATCTGTATTTCCGTAATTGACATGGATTTCAGTGTCCCAGAAGTTATCGTTTTTGTTACTAGAAATTCTGTTATCATCACTCAAAAGTGTTAAGTTTAATACATTTAGACAGTTCTTTAGCCAATTACAAAATATCGCTCTCCTGTCAAAATCATCATATCTTAAATCTTGTACTAATTTAATTTTATACGGGATCATTTCGAAATTTTAAATAGAAAAGTTTTGTATAGACTTAAATCTATACAAAACCTCTCGCCTTAACCCTAGGATACTTAACCAATAAAATAATTATAGTAACTAAATGCTCGCCGGGCCTGAAAGGCCCGGTTTATGCATCCTAGGGTTAAGAGAAGTCATTTGCACACGGAGCTACTGAAAAGAAACTGATCAATGACGCGAATTGCTAACCAGTTTACTTTGAATCACTTCCTATGTAATCAAATGAGACGCCCTCACGGCGCTACTAATTGCGGACTCATCTGTGATTCATAGAAACCAGTTTGTAACCAGTTGAGTTTCCAATGCCAAGTAATCCAGCAGGATGAATGACCAACAACTCAACATTTTGTTCGTTGCGGAAGTGGGAAAATTTTATAATTTTCAACATCCAGGCTACTCAAAAAAGCATGAAATAGAAAAGGCGAAATAGCCTACAAAACTTAGCCTCTGAAATTTCGAGTTCCTTTGCAGTAACAAATAAACGGGGGTGAAAAACCTCTCAAGGTATGGGTGACAAACACACTGTGCAAACACACTGTATATTAGAGACACTGCTACACAATTTAATCCATTTTTATTAAATACTAATTGCAACATTTTTTTAGATATTGCAAATAATTGTAACTACGAAACAATCAAGGTAATCTTAATCGAATCTATTTATACTGCGCAGTAAACAGCACCTTTCATAACAATGATAAATCACTTTAGCTTTCGACAACAATGCCCTTGGTTAAGCTTAAAACGTATAAAATTTTTAATAACCTTATAAAATCGGTTCAACAAAGATTTCTGGGGTTTAAGCACATAAAATTTGTCATTAATATTGTGATAATCTCCAATGATGTTTTATACGAACAACAGATAATGCATAACTGGAATTTCTAGTTTTTATTTAAATTCACCGCCTCATCCAATTTACTTTATGAATGATCACAAGCGTGAAGGTTCGTTCGCCTTAATTCACTTCTTATTCAACTCAACTCCGAACGACTTTCACTATAAAAACACATTTTTAATATGTCCTTGTCTTCTTTTGAACATTTTCTGCGAGTCATACCTATGACGAATCATTAAATTACGCTAAATTAATTATTACTCGCATTTCTTTTATTTTTGTTTTGTTAATCTTTGAAATTCTTTACTTTTTTATTCATAACATAACAATTTTAATTAAAATTTTTTGTGTTTATGAGCTTAAAATGTTTATAAGTATTTATTAAAAAAAATTAAACTATAAACTTACTTGCAGTTAATGTATTCTTCTTTTTAGCAGATTTTCCTTTGTTTGGATAAATCATAGCTCGTACGATTGAGTTTGTTGGTGATACTTTTGACATGGAAGAACTTTTAACAACAGGACTAGTTATTTTGCCATCTTCAACTTCTAATTTATTCCTTTTAATTGAACTTGCTTTACTTTCTATAATTTTTCTGGAACAACTTTCTGGAGTATTTTCAATGATATCTGGTTTCACAATTTCTTCTTGCACCTTGGAGAGAATTGGTTCGTTTTCAGTTATTTCAGTGATACGTTTTTCATCTGATCTTGGTGGAGGTAACGGAGGAATATCTTTATTTCTCTTTTTTGGCGTTTCAATTGGTGGTTTGGGTGAATCAATCGGATATTTAGGTTTGTAATTATCAGGATAATACGTTCTTGGCGGTGGTTTTGGTGGAACATCAACCACGTTATCTTTACCAGGGGTCATAATCATATAAGAATTTTTTGTTTCAACAACGGGAATGCCTAATTCATATTTGATTCCCTCAGAAGAGTCTGGTGTATTCCTTTCTTGCTTATTCGCCAAATTGTATTCCCACACTTTAGTTTCAACATCTTTAGTATCTTTTTCTGTGACAGAAACGAATCTGTTTTGAATTTTTGCTCTAACGGCGTTGTTAATAACGGCGGGGTTGCTTTCTAACAAAATTATTTTCTCGTCAAATTTTTTAATAATGTTATGGACATGTACGTTTTTTAATTCGGCGCACATCTTATCCTTTTCGCTCCCCTCATCGTGTTGGTCATCAGCCCCCATGTTACTTCTATCGGTGATGTCTTCAGCTTCGTCGATAAAGTCTATATTAGCATTACTTCCGGTCAGGCTATTCAAAGAGTTTACGCTAACACTTTTCACTTCACCAACGCAAATTTTCTCCTCTTTAATCACGTTCTTCGGTTTGGCTTCTTGAAACACCACTTTTTTCAGCTTTAACGAATTTTGGCGATCTTTTCTATTCGGCGATAAACCAATAACAGTCGTTGGTCTCACCGACAGCTCCAAACCATGGCTGCAGGATGCGCTCTTATCTCGTAACAGAGTGGCCTCGTCTTCGAAATTGTTCTGAATGTGATTGTACGAACTCGAATGGAACGCTTCGTGTTTATACATTTGTAAGAACTGAAAAATTAATGCTACGTTATCGTCTCTTCTTAAGTGTAGTGTACTTATTATTACAGGAAGTTCAGTGATAATAATGTTATGCAGTTGGGGTATTATCATCAGCTTTGATACGAGAATAACTCATTATTTTGTGTTTGTATAATAGAAATTCTTTTTATTTATTATATAACACCCATTTAATTTATAGTAAAATTAAATAAAATATAAATATTTAAATAAAAATATTGATGTAGTAAATTTTAAATTTTTGGCGGGTTAGCGTTTCAAGTTATAAAAGGGACGAAGAGATGGCGACACATAACAACTGTCAACTTATCAGTTTAAAATTTATTATTTTTATAATAATTATTAAAATTTGTGCTAAAATATGTATTTCCAATCGTTATGTTACTTTGATTGTATAGAATATTATTACTTTATTATAATTGTTGTGAATTGTTAAAAAATTTAAAATTAAATTGACATAGAAAAATAATCACTATATTACCGACTTCAACAAAATTAACCTCAAAATGGTGTCAAAAAGGTAAATATGTCGTAAGAGAAAACGGCGCGTTTTCGCTTTATTATGGGCGAATACCCAATTCAAATCATGGATGACATGAAAAAGGACAAAGCGAAACGTACAAAACAGGACCAGGTAACTCAGGCGGTTTTTAGTTACCTACAAAAACGCAACTATCCCATAACCTCACCGTGCGAGGTAACCTGCGAAGAAATGCACTCGGATTTATTGGTGGATAGAGAGATTAGTCGACCAAACGCAGTGATGTATAATTGTTATAACAGTGATCCGGCGGTTATTGACCAAAATTATTTAAAATTTGTGTCTTGGTTAAAAGAAGTGGGAAAAAATAAGGATTATGAAGATTTGTTGAGTCTTTTGGGGCCATTATTTTGTCACTTATATTTAGAAATGATACAAAGAGGTTATACAGAAAAAGCGGCGAACTTTTTAAAAACTCATTTCAATACTATTGATAAAAGTAGATGTAACGAGACCATTTTAAAATTGCTTCATATGTTTACAAATGATACCCCTGATTTGAGTGATTTAAAGAAAAAGTTTAGAACAAATAAATATAGTGTGAAATTAAAACCAAAATCATTAGAAATATTAAAGAAATTTTTAGAATCCTGCCACATGGTTATGTTGCAAGTTTTTCAATCATGTTTTGAGGTTAATTTTGAAGAGGAAAAAATGGATGTAGATAATAAAGTTGTAGAGAACATTGGAAATGGGTTAGATAACAATTCAATTCCAGATTTGGATAAGTTAAAAAGTGTAATAAATAGTTTAAAAAACGATCATTCACAAATTTGTTCTATGGTTTTAAGAAACTTAAAAGAAGATGCAACATGTGGGCTTATAAATCGTGAAGCTGGCATTGCAATTTATTCATACAACTCCAGTATTTTCATAAAACCCATCATAACGTTAAAACAACTTCAAGGAGCTGATGAATTAAATGATATAGTTTTTAGAGAACATAGAAAACGAGTTTACGACGTTTCTTATATTCCAAAACATAACTTTTTAGTTTCTGCTTCTCAAGACAGTACATTACAATTATTTGATCTCAATAATTATACACACAAATTAGTTTATAACAGTCATAATTACCCAGTTTATTGTGTATCTTCAACATCAAATTATATTGCATCAGGTTCATATGATCACACAGCAAGATTATGGTCTTTAGAAAACAATAATACTTTACGGGTTTATGTTGGACATACACAAGAAGTAACTAGTATAGATTTTCACCCGAACGGTTTATATTTATGTACAGGATCAGCGGATAAGTGTCTTAGAATGTGGACTATAAATGACGCAAATCCAGTTCGATTATTTCTTGGTTCTAAAGGAATAATTTATTCGCTAGCTTATAGTTCTAAAGGGAAATATTTAGCGAGTGCGGGAGACGATAAAAGGGTGAGAATTTGGGATTTAGTGGGTGGAAAACAAATATTTGAATTAAAAGTTGGATCTGATCCGATAGTGAAATTATCGTGGAATAGTGACGATACAGTTTTATGTGCGGGAACGAACGAAGGGTTAGTAAGGACTTGGGATGTTAATAATATCGGAAATATGGGCGATTCTGGACAGTGTAATACAAAATGTAGCGTAAATCTTAATGGCAAATTGTTGCATATTGAAAATAGTATGGGTTCGTTTGGTTGTCTCACTGCAAAAATGTCTAATTCATCTCCTCTTTAGTTTTTAAATATTGTATAATTTGTAAAACGGTGATTGTATATTTGTTTTATTTATAACTTGTAATATTTCTTTTGTGAAGAAATACAATTTTGTTAAAAGTTGTTAGTTATTTTTGATTAAAATAAAAACAATTTTGATACATGGTTTGAAATGTTTTTTTAACCTATAAAATTCAAGGTATAAGTTTTATAACTTGACTTAGGTCCATTACTACCATCTTTTAGTCAAATTTATCTTATAGATAACCCATCTACTAGCCAATAAGAGCGCGTAAAAGTAGCCGTAACCGTGGTAATAATCCCTTAGATAGCTTAACCAGAAGATGGTAGTAATGGACCTTATCTGGTAATAAAAAATGTTTCCATGTTTTTATTTTTGATAAATGGCTCAAATTTTTCTTTTGAAATTAAAATTTTGGCCAGAAGAAGCTAAAACACTGCACGATTGTAAAATATCACCTACTTATCAAGATTAGTGGAAATTGCATTCAAGGAATCTCCGAACGGCTTTTCTCAACTACTACTAACCGTGCAAAAACTTCCGGTCTACCGGAAGTAGACCATAACTTCCCTATTTTAAATAAAATGCTATAGTTTTTATTACACAGTTTAATTATACGTAAAAAATAGGTTGACTTTGATAAAAGTTATTGGTACCTAGCGTTTTTCGTTTTCGAGTTATTTTGGTTTTAAACTTTTTTTGGTAAATTTCAACATGCTCTTTAAAACTCCATATCTAAGCCAAAGATCATTCAAAAAAGATCTACTTTGGCACGATTACTCTTCAGATGTTGTCAAATAGATTGTCATTTGTTGTATCTGAGTATCTTATACAGGCTGGTCAAAAATCCTCCATATTTAAAGGCGAGAAAGTCGAAAATTTTAAATGGAACGTCCCATATTTTAGCCTATCAGAAAGAGAATTTAATTCTCTACAAATTATCTATAAACATTCCCATACCTATTTATTGTAGTTTGCCTCATATTGCGAAATTTATTAAAAAATCGCATATTTCCGGTCACCAGTGATGAAAACAACAAAATAAATAATTTAACGTATTTTATTGCATTTCCAAATTCAATTTAATAACAAATTTATATTATAAATTTATAGTTTTATTCAAATCTAATTTTTGTCACTAACTTTTTGTTTTAATAGTGTCATTTATTTGATCTTCTGTTTGTTATTTTTGGTAAGTAAAAGCTAATAAACTAAAAGATTATCAATCGTAGTTAATAGTACAAATAACAATAGAAATAAATTAAACAAAAAACTGTCAAAATGTCATGGCCTTCTAATAAAAATACAAACGGTTTCCTGCATGTTTTGATAAATTTACGAATATGAGAGAAACTACAATAAATAAGTATAGGAATGTTTATAGATAAATTGTAGAGAATTAAATTCCCTTTCGTGTAGGCTAATAAAATATGGGGCGTTCCATTTAAAATTTTCGACTTTCTCCCCATTGAATATGGAGAAACGGTAATTCAATTTTTGACCTCCCTGTATAAGATACTCTGATACAATATATGACAATCTATTTTGACAGCATCCGAAGAGTAATCGTGCCAATTTAGAGCTTTTTTGAATGAACGTTGACTGGGATGCGGTTATTTCGAAAACGACCTGGCGGATTTCAACGCGGTTTTTACCAAAATATGTCAAATAATATCGGTTGTCGGATTCCGTTATAAGTTTTTTCAAAATTAAAGCTCCCTAATTTTTTAAGAGCGATTTAATGGAATTACAAATTAAAGAGAAACAGAAATAAGCTCTGCGGGGTGACGGGGGTTCCGTCCAATCGGAACAGATGGTGCGTACCAGACAGGACGTCGCGCCTTATTTCTTTATGTAGGTAAGATAAAGGCGCGACGTACTGTCTGGGACACACCATCTGTTCCGATTGGACGAAACACTCCTCTCCCCGCAATTTTTTCCATCGAGCGGTTACGAAGATATCGATGTCTAAAGTGAGGGCCTTGACTTTTTGCACGGATAGTAGTGCATGGAAACGCGTGCTCACTCCTAAGAAGCAAGAAGAGGCAAGTAGATCCAGAAACATCACTGTTAAACTAAAATAATTGGGCAAAACGGTCTGCCAAGAGGCATCGCTTCGGAATAAAACTTTATGTCTTTTGCGATTGCTAAACAGGCTACATTTTGGGATATCTGGTATACGAGGTGTGCAAATTAAGTAATGAGGTTGGCAACGTAGCGTTCGATCGATAAAGTCATTCTAAAAATTTCGAGCAGCACACCGCCATCAGGTTTTACTTTAAACTTTTGCACAGTGCAACGAAAACTTTTGCAAAACTTCAGCAGACCTATGAAGACTGTGTTCTGTCATGAGCTCAGGTTTTTCGGTGATTTAAGGCATTTTTAGAAGGAAAAGAGTCGAATGAAGATGAACCTCGAAGCGGAATGCCTTCATCTTCAAGAACCAATGAAAATGTCGACAGAATTCGGGATCTTATGTGTTCTGATCGTCGGTTGAGTCAGAATGATCGGGGAAGAGTTAAATTTGATTCACATCACTGTTCATCATATTTTGACCAATAAATTGGGGATGAGAAAAATCTGCGCAAAAATTGTTCCAAAAAACGTTTCGCAAGACCAAAATCACAGACATCAGGAAGGAAAAGTGCCTTGACTTTTGGAATCGATTAAAAATGATCCCCATTTTTTTGGAACATGTCATTATTGGAGACGAGTCCGGAAACCAAGCCCCAGAGCATGGAGTGGCTCACTTCAACCTTTCCAACACCCAGAAAAAGAATGAGCAAGTCGAAGATCAAATCCATGCTGATTTGTTTTTTCGATATTTAGGGTCAATCAACATTTTTAGCAGAGGTTCTTTTAAAACTTCGAAAAAGGGTCATTCGTGTGAGACCAAACATCAAGACAACTGGGTTGCATCACGATAATGCGCCTTGTCACACAGCAATTTCAATAAATGAGTTTTTGGCCAGTAAAAACATTCCTGTGGCTTCTCAGTCACCTTATTCGCCTAACTTGAGTCTTTGTGACCTTTTCTTCTTCCCGTGATTAAAAAATCACCACAAGCAAACTTATCTTGAGAAAATTACATTAAACTCATTAAACAAAGGCATTCATTTTACAGTGACAACTACTACTATACAAGTCCAACTTTTGCAAATTATCTTTTTGAGCACAAGACAAACTCTTGCGGAACTGTTCGCATAAATGTTACACATGCCAATTTAAAAAAAAACTGAACAAACAGGAAGCATAGAGATTGTTGTAATGTGGTAATGCTCACCAACTTTCATGAAAATAAAATGATTGCGTTCCATCAGATTGATAAGCTTACTAATGAAAATGAGATCAAACCATTATGTGTACTGGCTTATAATAAAAGAATGAGAGCAATTGACAGAAGTGACGTGATGATTAGCACTACAGATTGCACGTGCAACCTACTACCATGGCCTCGTTCAGAAATTCCGCGCAAATGAGGACATGCTGGGACTGCTCATGTACACAGATTGTGAAGTCGGGCTCTATTTAATACCAGATTTCGCACCTACTTTTGGATGCCCTCCTGAAAGGGTTAACCTTGAATATTAGTAAAGTAATAAAGTTTTGGACAATGATATTTGTTACTCGACATCATACTATTTATGCGCAAAAAATCCAGGCAGTGTCTATGAAAAAACTTATTGCTTTAAAAATGCACATTTTATACTTGGAAAATTCATTTTCGATTTGAAATTTAACCATAACTACAAACTGTTACTACAACTACAAAATGTACAAAACAGTTCATTACCTATAAAAGATTTGGGATTGTATTTTTGATGTGTATGATTTTGTTAATAACATCGAATGAAGTTTAAGTCACACACGAGTTGGAAATTTGATAAGATGTGCAAGAAAAATCAAGATTTCTGTCTGTTGAACCTATAAAAATGTGTTAGTGGTAATAATATATAGTGGTGATGATAATTTTCATGAACACAGTCTAGATATGAACTACTTTAGAAACAGCAAGATACCTAAAAACTGCTAAATACCTCTTTGTATTATGAGTTCTTGAAAGTTACTAAAACATGAAGGCAGAAGAGCAATTAATCGACTAGGATCAAGGACCAAATAATACTCATGGGTATTTTATTAAAACTGCAGTTCATAATTTCTTAATTTCTCTTATACGTATCCTTGACATTCCAACAAGAAGTTCGTCAATCCGCAAATAGAAGTAAAGGGCAAGTTATATGGAGAGGTAATGACAGTGACCTCGACCTTTAGAAGTATTCAAGGTCAATGTCATACAGCAAAACCTTCACCTTGAGATTCCATGAAGATGATTTGTCCTTTGATGTCTCCGCAGATTATCTGGACGTGTGAATACTTTGCAACAAACTACACAGGTTAATATTGCCATTACTGTCTTATCTCGTAATAGAAGTGAGTTTCTGCGATGATGGACAAGGTTACGCAAAATGACCTTGACAAAAAATCGGCAAATACCTACTATTAACCAGTGTGAAGAAACAAAAACTCTCATGCCATCACAGCAGACCTGCTTTTAAAAGTGCCTTTGTCTGACAATACAGTTGAATACAACATATGGCAGAGGATATCAACAGTCAATTAATAGAAATTATTAAAGGAATCGAATTTGGATTGTAGTTAGATAAGGCGACGGATAAAATAATAAGGATAAATATGATACGTTAGGCAAGGTTATAGAAGGAAATAATAACTATCATTACAAAAGCAAAGGGTCAAGACAATAATTTCATTGTTCCATATCTGGCTGCTATCGAGAATTGTAGGTGTTTATTCAAAGCAAATCATCAAATGATATTCATAGTAGAGTAGCTCTTGTGTTAAAAAACTTGAATCTAGAACTAAATCAGGTGTTAGAATGTAGCTATTTTATAAAATTTAGAAATAGTAATCGAACGTAGAAATAGCTCATTGACAGTTTGCCTTCTCATATTTGGTTTTTATTTCTGTGTTACTCTATATTTGGAAATATTACTATATTAATTAGTTTTTAAATCTCTTTTTGTTTATTTTATGTTTAAAATGTAAAGGAATAAAAGCTTGGTGATATTTTCTTGTGACATAGTGGTTGATTAAGTTGCAATGATATAGGTAAGATTATAAAGAAACATCTTTGACACTAGTAGTCCCTAGTAGACCTATAGTAGTCCACATACAACCCATTTTCTCAAACTGTTAGAAGTTTGTTGCTGTCATTTTTACATATATATATACAACATGCATTGTTGTGTTACATTTGTAAAAAGCAAGTTTTATAATTTATTTTTAAGACAATAAAAAAAATCTTACCTGTTCTAAACCAGGATAAGCCTTTTGATTACTAGGTGTAGCTCCACTAATAGTATTTCTTCGTTGAAGGACAGGTCTGCTTGATTTCATAGGATATAACGTTCTGGGCCCATCCAATGGACTATCTGGTGGATCCATGTCGTTATCACTACTTGAGTCACTTTCCAATTCGGTTATTGCAGGTGCTGGTCTATAAATACCAATTTAAAAAAAGATATGTTAAAAAAATTAATCATTATTCTGGTAAATTTTGATAAAACCTACTTTGGTGCTGGTATTTGTGGAAGGTCATTAACAGTGAGGAGTCGTGGTGATGGTAAATTTTCATTCCATCTTGAGTAAGGTGTTGCTCTTTTTTTGCTTGGTAATCGATATGGTTTTATGTAAATAGGACCATAAATTTTAGACATTTGAGGAAGTTTTTTCAATGTTAATACAACTTCAGGTGGTGAATCTCTTAGTAATAACATAACATTTTGTCTCTGCCAACCCACCACTGTTTGATAATTCACTTGAACAATCTCATCACCAATTTCTAATTTGTTACTTAGAGATGCTGGAGAATTATGTTTAAATTCAGCTATTTGATGTATCAAATGATAGTTGGGGAAAATAAATAATCCTAATTCTTGTTCTTTTTTTCGAACAGTAGTAAGATTTAACGCTGCCGGTTGTAAAATTAAAGGATCTGTATATTGTACCATATGATCAGCTAAATATGTCAATTGATGGCAAGCGTTTTGTATGGTGTCTAAAGGATTTTCAGAAAAAGTATCCCTATGAGCACTAAATGCCATTTCCACACACAAATTTAATAATTTACTTTGTATCTGAGCAAATTCTCTGTTGTTTATGAATGGTCTTCTTGTTAACCAAGATACAATTGGTTTTACTTTTTGAATAACATTATGAGCTTCTGACATTACTTCTGTTGGTATTGAACCTGTTTTTTTATCTAACCATTTTAATTCATTATGTAAAGATCTTGCTGCACATGATAATCGTAATGCTAAGAGTTGAAGGTTTTCTTTATCCAAATCATAATACTAAAAAGATTTTTTAATTAATTTTTTTGTTTGAATGTTGGTATTTTTAATGTCAACTTCAAGAAAATGTCAAATAATACATCATAACCTCTAATTTATTGAGTAATGATTTAATGATGTTATTTTAATTACTTACAAAATTTTTTAAATGTTGTATAGCTTCTAAAAGGATTTCTTGATGTCCGATGATAGTAACACCCAAATTTTCTAAATCGCTAGCAGTTAAATCAAGAACTTTTGTACCAGTGATCTCATTGTTTAAGAAATTATTAGTATACGATAAAACAACCCCATCCAAACCTAAAATCACCAATAATTTTAGAAACTTTTCATACAATCACAAAGCAAAGAAAGGTTATGTCTACATTTGTAAAATTTACCTTTGAGCCACTCTATCACTTGGTCCACATTCCATTCCTTCACATGCACGTATGCCATGATTATTCACATAAAAAAGAAACAAAAAGACTATTCACCCTCAAACATAATCGACACGGTTTTCCTGTCCGCGCCTGTTAAAACTTGTAAAGTTTAGAAACGTCAAGAAATATCATAATAGTATGTGACCTTGAACTTATGCAACTTAATTTGCAGGAATTTTAAGGTTATGTTTTGTTTTAACTTACAATTAAATCATTTTTATTCATTTCTTTAATTTATTTATCTCAAGTGAGTACAGAAACAAGTCCAACCCAATAACACTGTACCACAAACAACCCGTTGTATACAAATTAAATTACAGCAAAATTGCAGCAAAAAGCAATTTTTTAAATGCATAGAAAAAATGCTGAAACTGGTGAAAATTGGTTCTAGAATCTAGGAGTAGGTGTTATAAGTAGAAAATCAAAGCGAAGTAGTCTCGGAGGAACATGAACACACATTTAAAACAAAAGTATTTCAGGAATTTAAATTAAATATGCTCAATTCTAGATTTATATGAGTGTTCAAATTACGCTGCAAAAGTTAAAAATGTGGTGTAGACATAGGCAAAATAGAGATTTCTAATTGCATTAATGTTAGATAAAGCTACCGTGGATCTCATGATAAATCCTAACATATGCCAGGCTTTGGAGACAACAGTATCAATATGTTTATCAAATAATAATTTGCAATCAAATGTTACACCCAAATCATGTCCCCAAGTCCCCAATCTTTGCATTTAAGAGCAAATGTCGTTTCTAGGGGAAGCATGATATACCTGTTCTAATTGTTGGTAAAATACCTCTTTAATCAAATATGTGATTAACATAAATATTAAACAGTAAAGCGCCTAGATAGATAGCTACCCTGGAGAATACCAGAAGGAACTGACACAGGATTAGAGAAAACACCATCTCTCCTTCAGATAGGAAGCAAACCATTGCAAAAAATTTCCCTAAATACCAAACTTCATTAATCTAAACAGAAATAAGTTGTGATCCACCTGGTCGAAAGCTTTACTAAAATTAGTATAAACTAAATCAATTTGGCAAGAATCATCCAGAGAAGATAAGACATGCTGGGTAACTTCAAGTAAGTTACTCTCAACTGAGCGACCAGCAAGAAAAAACATGTTGCCAGCAATTGATTTTAGACTTATGTTCAAAGAAATGCTGGCAAAATAGATATGGGGTACTAGTCAATAATCAGATATAACACCACGGTCTCAAGATTTAAAAATGGGAAGAATAAAAGCATGCTTCCACAATGAAGGAAAGACACCCACTACTAATGAAGCGTTAAATAAGATAGTTAAAGAGGAAGGGACAGAGAGTGTGAATATTCCTTGGTTAAAATTGATTCATGATGCCCTAACGGGCATCCTCAACCTCAATCCTGTCAAACTGCATCTGACTCAAAGATGATTAATTTGGAGAACAGAATAAAAATGATATATTATGCTAGAATTGATCTTTAAATAGAAAATGTTTATATCCAGGGAGAAATATAGAAAAATTAAATTTTAACAACAAAATTTAACAATATGCATACATTTTTAAAGAATAAACATTGTTACATCTCAGCTGAAACTCAAAATCATATAATTTCTTTCGTATTATTTTAAATTCGAATAAACATAATTACTCAAATAAGGAGAACAACAAAAATTCCCAGAAATCGTTTATTTAGTAAACATTGATTTACTTTTTAAAAATAAATATCAAAGGTTATCATATTGAGTTCACCAATCTTAAATCTGAAACTTTCTTATAAACAAGCTAAAGGAAACGTTAAATGAATATTGTTAAATTGAAATTATAAACTAATGTTTTGTAACTTTTCAAGTAAAACCACAAAATTTAAATCGTATAACTATTCAAATTTCGTTACTTAACAATTTAAATTGTTCATAAAAAGCCGGTTATAAAAAATACAAAAAAAATTCCTAGAATGAACTTGATTTCTAAAAGATTTCATCCTAACAGCGTCGAATTGAAAGATTCGAAAGCAACACACGTTTTGTTTTTTTTTTATGTTTGTTAAAATGTTCTTAAGAAGTCCGAGTTCTTGAAATTCCCCTTCCAAAATTAATCCAATTGTGACGCAATCCGTGCTAATAGATATTAACATCGATGAAATGGTCAAATGGCCAGTTGTTGTAAATTCGTTGAGTACTAAAGATCAAGAGTATCAAGATCACAGTCCATAATGCAATTTTATTTAGCAGCTCTTGCCTTTTTGGCAAGTGTTTTATATTCGCAGGCAGAGCCTAAAGTTGTATGTTATTATGATAGTAGATCCAATACAAGAGAAAGTAAGTAATTTCTCAAGAAAAATTTCTATTTTTATTATAATAATTAGTCAGGTGATTTGTAAACACCTTGAAGTAATTAAATCATATTTTAAAAATAGTTTTCTCGAGAAAGACATTGACACTATATTAATTTTGCACTACTTAGAATTTTTTTAATGGACTTTGAGAGTTCTAATAAATAATATTCTTGATAACTTATCATAATTAAACGAATCGGATTGCAAAGAAATTCGATATCTTCGTTGAGTTTAAAGTGAAATTTCTGGAAATTTTCAGGTCAAGGCAAATTCGATATAGGCTTCATTGACCCTGCTCTGCAATTCTGCACACACTTAATTTACAAATCAGCCGTAATTAACGCCGATACTAACAAATTGATGCCATTGAATGAACGTTACGATGTCACACAAGATAATTACAGGAAAATTACCGAACTGAAAAGAAGATATCCTGGTTTAAGAATTCTTTTAGCGGTTGGACATGATTATGATGATGTTGAAACTAAAGCGAAATATTTAACTTTGGTAAGTTAACAAAGAAAAAAAAACTTTACATAAGTAAAAAAATTGTTTTTAAAAAACCACAATGGTTTTTAATCGATATTGTTTACACGTAGTACTTGGTCAGCACAGAAAATTAACACCAAAATAATCTTAGATCAACAAAAAGATTATTTTTAAGTTAAAGCAAGCGAAAAAGTATTGGTTACATAATAAAATTACTGTTTAAATTTCATAAAAATATTTCTTAAAAAAATTTAATCGCTATAATAATTCATTGAAAGTTTACACTCAATGATAAATCTCTTTACCGCAACATGACTCATGAGTCATTTTCAAATAAAGAACAATAAAATTAGTTCATGAATAAACCAATAGACCTTGTTTGCAAGCGTAAGTGTAATTTACATTTAACACGCGCTGGTGACAAAAAAGTTTTTTTTTTCTCTTTTATAACATTATGTATCATTTTTTTAGTTGGAATCGGTAGATACAAGATTGGCGTTCGTTAATTCTGCTCATACATTGGTAAAGTCATACGGTTTTGATGGTTTGGATCTTGGTTGGGAATTCCCCAAAACTAAACCGAAGAAGATTCGCAGCTCTATTGGTATGATTTAAAATAATTCAATCTATCACATATAACAACAATAAATATATTGCACTACAGCCCATTGTGAGCCTTGACCTGTTCTACAACACGTCTCCGTTAGTTTTGCTTTTGGTCTAAATTCTGGCCCCAGTTCTGCACCTGCCTCCTCCCTAACATTTTCCATCCATCCCTCCTTGGTCTTCCTCTTGGTAGACGGCCCTCTGGTGTTTGAATGAATACCCTGCTCGCTACACGCTCTGCCAGCATTTTCCAGACACGTTCCAGCCACTTCAGCTTCTGAGCTTTAATCCATGTTGATAAGTCCTTCCTGCTGTTGTCTTATCTCGTAGTTCATTAATTGTCTCCATTCTCCCAGGTTGTTGTGATGGTTTGGCCCATACATCCTTCTTAAGATCTTTCTTTCAAATCTGTTTAACAACTCTTAGTGAATATTATTGAGTGTTTAACAATATATACTTATCACAAATAAAAACACAAATTCACATAGAAGGAACCCGAAAACAAATCTAAATTATAACTAACTAACTATTAAAAGTTATAACATTTAATAACAAATACTACTATACAGTATCGCGATTTGCAGATGGATAGCAGAATGATAGGTTCCTCCTTCCGTCAAAGATGAGTTTTATAGATCCTTTCTCTTCAATATTTAATACTTGTCTGGTGTAATAGGATTTTTGCAAGTCGATTTGGGTGGACTTCAAGCCTTAGCTGGTACTTGGAACTTCGCTGGGTAATTGGCTCTTTTACAGTAAGCATATTTATGTCTTGATGACATATAGATTGAAATCACTGCATCTATATGTTTCGCTAGTGGTGCTCCATAACTAAATTCCGTGTTCCTAAACAGGTTCCAGCAACTTACTGTCGAGACTGAGTTTTGTTAATGTGAAAGTGATTTACTAGGATTTATTTATACTTGCAACTATTTTAGCCACTTTTTCATCAATAGTAAATGACATTGCAGATGTTGAGACGGCACTTCAAGAGATGTATGTGTATCCATAACTACTGCGTCGCCCCATAAGTAGCAATCATGGTGTTTTTGTCATAGGTAAATCGGCTGTGTTATAAAAGATGGGTTCAAAAATACTACCTTGAGGCATTCTAGCATACATTGGTAGCAGAAATGAATATGATTATGTTCTACATAAAAATATCTCCGTCAGATATGTTGACAGTAGTGTACATGCAGGAAAAGGTAGACCAACAAAAGGTGAAAATCATTAGTTAGGTTAGTGCCGGTATTGTATCTTTGGGTCCAGTATTATTTAAAAAGGATTCATCTTTGACAGCAAAACATTGAAATGTAAATCTGGAGATTTGTGGCTGATGTGAAATTTGTGGCGAAAGTACGACTTCGAAAGAGGGATTATAGATCAATGTTCTTATATGAGGACCTACAAATATCCTTTCTTTAATTCTGGTCCCACTGCGCCTAGAAATTTTATCTTTCGAAATCGTACTCCATCTTTACGAACTCCTTTCACCAAAATATTTGATTAAACTAAGTTTGATGTAACTTCTTGATATAGCCAGATTACAATTCTAAAATTAATGCCACTACTTTCGAATCTGCACATATTTGCCATTTACAAGCTGCGTATTCTGGTTTCTTTTAAATAAGTCCCGTACGCAACAGGTAAAGATCGATTATGTTTTCATTTGCCTTTGGACTTTATCTTAATCCATCAATTAATAGTATCCATTGTTCTGGTAAACTAAACTATCCTCCTTTGAATAATAGGTAGTGAAGGAGCTGTACCGCTTTCGGTAAATTGTAATTTAAACACGTTTCTTATGTTCTGGCAACTTTTATTGATTCTTGGAACCTTGGCATTGTTATCCTGATCCTGATAGTACTAAATGTGATGGTTCTAGTAATCCTACCAATCCCACCAATTACTGTAATACCTATGTTGTTGTAGGTACTTGATTGCTGTCTTGCTTCAGTTCTTAGCTCTTTGTTAGATAATTATGGGTAAAGTAGTTGAGCCACCACACTAGTGTCTCTGATATAGCATTTCGAACATTCAGTTAAGAAGATTCCGTGGCGCTGTGTATGTCTTTGATATCAAAGCGTGCGATTCTTCCAAAAATTCTTACACGATTCATTTATTGTAAGTAATATTCCATCCATCAGGAGATACATTTTAAGTACTGTGTAGATATCTCTATATTTGTCCTTTAGATGGGATTTACATCTTCATTTTGGTGGAAAAACGTTCATTCACCCCTAAAACAGCCAGTGTTAGAGGTTGTAAACACTTTTTTTTCACATTGTTATCAAGAATCCAACCTTAAAACAGTTGAAATCTCGCTTAATGATTTCAAATCTGTCTTGGATTAATCTTATTCTATTCAGTTTTGAGATAACAAGTAGTTGTTCTTCTGACTCTAATCTAGCTATAAACTGTCACAATGAACATGCAATTAGGCACATCCTTTATGACACCTGCCCTTTCTGTCCTTATTTGAAGTCAAACCTTTTGACTGGACTGTTTATAATTAGGTATTTGTACATGCTGAAACCTAGCTGACATCAGTGTAAAGATACAATCACGTTATGTGAAATACAATCCTATCCTTCTCTTTTTCCTAACGTTTATGTTTTGAGAAAAGAGCTTCTTCATATTAACTGGAAAATCGCAGTTTAACCAGATAACCCCGTTTTTGCAAAAACACTATCTTCCTCTATCTTTATTCTTTCAAGCACATTGCATACTATATCAAATAAAATATTCAAACCCATCTGGAATTGCGTTTACCTATTTTTTTGCCCAATAAATAATGGACTCGCGAACATCTAGATTAAGTGTATGCACGAAGATTTAACTATAATTTTGCACATATTATTTGAGAGTTTACCTCACCTAATAAAGGCTTCACAGCCACTGCCAAAACAAAACTTATTTCAATAAACAAATAAGAAGTTAAGCCACGCTCAAAAATCAAAAAAGACCATCATGAGTTTCTATACAAAATTGCTATCAATATATTTTTAAGCAATTAAAAAATTATTTTTTAAGGTTCATTCTTCCATTCTATAAAAAAGAAGATTGTTGGTGATTCAAAAAAAGACGATAAAGAAGAAGAACATAAGGAGCAATTTACTGCTTTGGTTCGTGAAGTTAAAAATACATTCAGACATGATGGATTATTGGTTACTCTTTCTGTCCTTCCAAATGTTAACAGCACAGGTAACGTTTTTTATTATGTTTTTCTAAATTAATAAAAAAAAAGAACGAAAAGAAATAATACAATTAAACAATAGAATGAGCTCGTTATTTTTTAAGAGTTAAATTAGATTATGTCGTCCCCAACAAGGTTAAATTAATGAAATCTCACCATTTATGATGACGTCATACACATAAACAGCCTATTGTGTAAACCCATTATGAATCCTTAAATAATCTTTTAGTTTATATGGACACAAGGAACCTAATTCAACATGTAGATTTGGTAAACATCCTGGCTTATGATTTCTACAATCCTACTCGTAATCCAAAAGAAGCTGATTATCCAGCACCTTTGTACGCTTTATATGATCGTAAACCGGACGAAAATGCCGATACAATTGTCAGACATTGGTAATAATTATTTAAATATTACAATCATTAATAAAAGGAGTACAATAAATTTTTTGTAGGCTTGAAACCGGTGCTCCTAGCAACAAACTTATTTTGGGTATCCCAACATACGGTAGATCATGGAAAATGACTGAAGATTCAGCGATTAGCGGAGTTCCACCTTTCACAGTTGATGGAGCTGGTGAAGAAGGACCTTATACAAAAACCCCCGGTATTTTAAGTTACCCCGAGGTTTGTAGCAAAATTGCAAATCCTAACAACCTGAAAGGAGCTGGAACTCATTTAAGAAAAGTTGGAGATCCAACTAAAAGATACGGTGGGTTAAGTTATTTTATATATTTATTTATTAAGGGGTTTTTGCATGTTAAATGTTTTTCTAGAACGTTGGAATAGTACAGATGTAGACAAGAGATATGGTAGGTAAAAAAAAATTATAAAGAAGGGAAAATAACAATATCCCTTTGGTTTTTGTTTAATTTCATCTTAACATTTCTTTATGAAATAAGTATAAAATGTTTTTTGATTATTTCAGGAATATATGCATTCCGTTTACCTGACAGCAATGAAGAAGGTGGTATTTGGGTAGGATACGAAGATCCAGATACAGCAGGAAATAAAGCTGCTTATGCACGTGCCAAAGGATTAGGCGGTGTTGCAATCGATGACATAACTTTGGATGATTTCAGAGGATTATGTACGGGTGATAAATTCCCTATTGTTCGTACAGCTAAACATAGGTTGTAAAAATATAAAATATATCTTTTTAATTATTTTACATTCTGTTCAATTGCGATAAATAAATAATACACAAAGGACTAATAATGGGTTTAAATTTAAGTACTGAAACAATAACTCATCCTACGTTTTTTTTTCGATAACTGATATTAAAAAATCGGGAATAATTTTGTCGTGTCACCAACACGATATAATAATAAGTATTCGTTTGGTATTTAACTACGAAAATTAGCACATTCATTAAGATTGGCATTTAAAAAATTAACTAGCGCTAATAAGAATGGATGAGATAAACTTTGACGAATTAAATTTCGAAATAATACGAATTACATGATCGGGTTTCAGTATCACAAAAGCCAACTTAGTTCAATATGACAAGAAAATAATAAGTTTTGAATGCAGGCTCTGATTAAAGTGCCATTTTCTTTCAAACAAGTTTAATTTTAAAGCATAAGTATATCAGATATTTATAAAGTTCTTCTCATCAGCTTATACTGCACCTAAAAAAAAGTTGCGATTAATAAATACCATCATAAAACATAACTTAAAAAATAACGTCAAATTCTAGTTCCCTTTAGAATATCAATAATGTAACAGTCAAGTTGCAAGTTGTATTTGAATCTGATAAAGTTAATACTTTTATTAGATTGCATCAACAAATCAAATATGAATTGAAAGTATTTTGAAACTTCATGTGTATAAATCAAATATAAGATTGTTATCAAATTTAATTATTTTGATAAAATATAATTAGTTTGCAACTAAAACTTATATCATCTGTAACACGTTAAAATAGATTTAAAGGTTTTAGATGATAAAAAATAATGGAATAAAGAACAGACATTTATTCTCTTCACCAACAGTCGTACAGAAAATAAACTAAATGGTAAATTAGATTACGAAAAAGAGCGCTTAAAAAACTGAATATTCACTTGACAAAAACGGTCGGTAATCGAAACGGCGATATTCATCGTTACATCGAGCGTCAATTCCAAAAAATAAAGAAAAATACATATCATACTATATCTAATCACAAATGTAACACCGAAAAAGTGGGACACTGTTGATCGAAGAGAGATTTAGGTGGGCGTGGGTGGATTAAAACGTCCGTTCCTTAATTTTTATTTTGCGAATTTTTTTTCTCCTTTTTTCAGTGTTTTTGTTTCCATCGGTTGGAAAGAAAAGTTAGGTGTTGCAATCTTTTTTTGTTTACAACAATTGTCGAAGAGTTGACAGATCGGCAATTGTTGAATTTTGTTTTTTTTTTTTAATTTTATTTATTTATGGTTATGAGAAGAAATCAATGAAGCGAGACAAGGGTTGAAAGACATTTCACAAACATTTTCGTTTGGAAAGAAAACGACGAGGTCGAAGGTTGGCGTCGACCGGCTCAGGCCCAAGTAGACAGCATATACACATGTAAAATTGTATAAAAAACGGATATAGGACGGCGCTCAGCGATCGCCAAACTTCACCTTCACTCAAAAATTCACATTATCGATTTTTTATTACTTCATTAGTTACAAATTTACTCAAGATGATCATATTGCTATGAAATGTCTTTTGTCTGCTTTCTTATTTTATAAATTCACGCACTAATTAAGTTGTTTTTTTTTGTTATTTAAACATTGGCTGATTATTTTTTTTTTGTTTTTTTTATGATGGTATGAAGAAAGTACCTATGCAGTACTTTCAGTGGTGGTATTCTGCACAGGTTGACTTTCCTATAAAAAATAAGAATTAACATCAAACGATCAAATTGGATTTGATCAAAAATTTAATTGCTTACTTCAGATTTAGTGGTCGCAGTGGTATCTTCAGCCTTAATGTTGGTTGATTCCGACTGCGAATTATTTCCGCGGTTACGAACAATACCACGCCTGCGGTATCTTGGGCGGGTTTGTCCGCGGTTTCCTCCTTCCTCACCGCTATGTTCTGCTTGGCCCTGGCCGTCCTGAGAGCGTGGTCTTCTGCCGCCTCGGCTACGGAAGTTTCTATGGAAGAAACGACGTGGCGGTCCACCGCCTCCACGACCTCTCATGCCACCGCCGCCTTCGCCATCGCCATGCTCGTTATCTCCGGGCGGTCCGCCGCGATAGGGGCCTCTATAATAGCCACCGCCACCGCCATAACCGCCGCGCCCGCGCCTCGGTCTATATTTGCGCAACGGTGGGCCACCCTGTTGTCCGCCGTCTTCAGTGCCTTCTTTATCACCCTCACTACGGGTGTTTGAATGCGGTCTACGATTTCCGCCTCGTCCGCCTCCGCGGCCGCCCCTTGGATAGAACCATTTGCGAAAACCGGGTCTACGATCCGCAGCGTATGGTGAGCCGCGCACTGGATATCCATTCGGTCCTGTTACATTCGCAGCCTCATTACCTTTTTCGCCGACGACGACGCTGAATTCCACTACTTCACCGTCTCCCACTGATCGCACCGCCTTTTTAGGATTGTTCTTAACAATTGCTGACTAAAATGAATAAAAAGAAAAATATTTAGAGTTATAAAAGCAATCATAACCTTAGTTTTAAACAATACTAAAAAATATATGATTTGTCGCGCTAAAAATATTCAAAGACGATCTTCGCCGCAAGACAGCTGCAAAGTATTTTATGGGAAATCATTTTGCTGATGTTTTACTACCAGTAGATACCAATATATGGATGTACACAGGGCATGTAGTGATGCTCAAAAAGAAATTTTGAATTATAATATGTAGCTCTCACCATATATTTCCAGCAGATATCAATTTTTTAGACACCACATAAATTCGTACCTTTTTGGCAAATTTATCTTACTTTTTGGACTTGTTATAGAAACTATTGATGGACACAACAGGTATGCCGTGTTTTCAAGGCTACTGGGCACTATCAGTATGAGGAGGAAATGATTATTGGTTAGATAATGCAACTAAAACAGAAGGAATGCAATTGACAGATACCAAACATATTACCTTAGCGGATTTTTATATCGGTAATTCTCTATTACTACTTTCCATAAGTAAGAAATGGTTGAACAAACAACTAATGCCTAATTTTTCGGAGAACAGCGTGTTAGTGATATACAGGATAATTCAAAAAACCGCTGACAGACTTCTAGAGTAGATAATACATGAAAAGTTAAGATGAATAGTCTTAATATACATTGGGTCGCAAATGCCTCCTTAACGAGATATAGCGGGTCAAAGTTTCTTTAAAATTAAACAGTATCTGCAATAAAAATCCCTTTTTTAAAAATATGTTCAACGCCACTGCTAATTTTGTGAAACGGGCAGTATTTTCGTGTAAAGTGATCAATTATCTATCAATTGATCTTTTACAAAACTTTGATTAAAGCAACAGTTTTTGATTGGATTAAAAAATTTTCTACAAACGTGTTTTTCTTAAAAACTATTGCTTTGATCAAAAGATTAAGATGAATTTACTAGAAGTTTGTCAGCGGTTTTTTGAATGAACCTGTATAACGCCCCATACAATAACAAACAAGCAAGAACATGTTCAGCATCTACAAAACGTAAGCCTGAAATGATGGAGTGGTTACAACATCGAAACATTAACTTTTTGGGAAAATCACAAAACTTGTGAAAAAAAAAAGAAAGTTGTATATTATAAAACAAAACAACCCATATGTAAAAAGTATAAAGTTGAAGTTGCATTGTTTACTCCCTCACCATCTAAATGATAACTTTATAGAGTTGGTTTAAGTGTGTATAAAATAATCTGTAGTTACAAAAAAATGTTACTTTTAAAAGAAATTACGTAGAAAATTTATGTGATGAATTCTTTCCAACATTATCGAAAGAAGATTGAAAGCGATGTGAACACATTCTGAAAATAGAACTGTGATATAACGTTCAGCAGCCACGTTTTGATGAGGTAATCAACGAACTAATAATAAACCTGGAAAAAGACAGTGATGTAATAGTGACAAATTTTCACCATCTGAAAGAAACGACTCGAATAGAGACAATTTAAGTAAGTTTAGTTTAATTTGTGTACCCAAATCAGCTATCCTGGGCCCAACATTGTTTCTGCCAAACAACTCAGAATAAATGGGGATGATGGCACCTCCTAAAAATAACCGGGGTTCAGCTTACTCAGCTAATGGCACCCCATAAAGGCCCCTCTGCCAAGGTACAGCCTTGTCGTTGGGCTAATCACCTACATGGAGTATATAGCTTCAGAACAATGTAACGAACCTCGGAACATGACCGAACAAATAAAATAATATTTGGAACATGGAACTGTCAAATCCCCAACAGGTGAAGAAGTGGAAATAGTGGAGGATATAGAGAAATATGAGGTAAATTTGAGTACATTGGAAACCAAGAGCAATGATAGATACCTAAAGAAAATCATGGACAACTTGGGAAAACAACTTAGAGGAAGGAGTAACCAGAAAGAGAAGGAAAACAAAGAGTCAAATAAAGAACTTGGTTAATAACAGCTAAGAATACAGGAAATGACTCAACACCCTGACACTCTAAGGGTACATACATAATGGAGCGAAGAACAAAGCGTTGTAGGACATAGTGGAGAGTCGGCAAGCGCGACGCAACAAACAATTAGTTGTAGTGTTCACGACATAAACAAAGATAGGCATTATTTTGGCGAATTTGATCGCTTATCCCATGAACTCTTCAACGTTTGATTATATTTTGATAAAAATACATCATAAACTAATCAAAAAATGGAGCAACTTCAATATTCAATTCATTTAACCTAGAGAATGGCTTGAGATTACTTTAAGGTTTCTTCATTTCTGCTGCAACATAATATAAGAGGATCTTTCTGATCCCTAAAAACATTTTTAGCAAACACCATACTTATTAATTGTTAATTATCCATTTTAGTTTACTGTGATAAGAGTGACGAAAACAATTCTGTTTGATATAGCTGCTTAGCTGGCAAGTAGATAAGGGGTAAATATCTTTTACTTACTTAGGGAAATTCTTAGATAACTTTAAATACTTTTTAAATGTTATTTAACAATTAGAAAATAGGCAGTAAACTCATTAAAAAGTGATTCCTTGAAAAGTGACTTCTTTACTTGGGTTGATATTTAACAGAAGTTTCCTTTACCACATAACAAAAACAATTTAAACTCAATTATCTATCACAAATGTACATTAACAAAAGTTACTATAGAGTTAACATAATAAAATTTATAACCTTAATTTTATGCCCTATACTGTTGACTATCTTATGAGTTCACTTCAACATTTACTATTGCAAATTACATTAATCATGACTTAATACCAAAAGAAGCTATCCAAGCTATTCAGGAAAAAATAAGAACACCTATGACATCTATATGAGAAAACATGTTAACCACATATCACCATATCAAACACTTACTTTCATTTATTATAAAAGGACCTTAAAGATATTGTACATTAGGACATTTGATTATTGTTTATGTAAAAAAATTATAATTTAACCTTAAATCATAAAAAAGATGTGCCTGATTAATGATTACATGTAAGCATAGAACAATTTAATTGTTCCCCAATGCTTACAAAGTTTAAAATAATTAAATGAATGGTTAAAAACAATATTGTAAACATTGGAGGTACCGTTATCTAGCACACTTATGACTCAAGCACCATCCAGCAATACAGATGGTGGATCTAAGGAGTGTGCAAAAAATGTTTTATCAAATTGTAAGTTACATAAATAAACAACAAAAAGTAATAATAAAAACAATATACTTACTTGATGAACAAAAACATCTTCCTTGGTATCATTCCTGTAATAACACAAATAAAGAGTGAAATAGACGTTAATTGCTTAAAAGATGGATTTTCTTACCGATTAATAAACCCGTATCCACTTTTTACGTTAAACCACTTCACGGTGCCTGTAACCTTGCTGGCTGTAAACAAAATAACATATTTGTAATTTTTGCTAGGACATATTTTATCAATAATCTTAAAAATTTAAGAAAATAAAACACATTTGAAAAGTTTTTTGGGTTAATTGTAATTTCATTTATTAAAAACCAAAGCTCGTTCTTTATAAATATAGCTAATATGAATGTGGAAAAACTTTGAATGGATTTTGATGAAATTTGTAAAACAAATCATATTAAAGCTTGTGCATGCGCGTTAGTTTGAAAACGCACATGGATTATTTTTACAAATGTTATTACCCCCGAGGTCACGTGACGCCGCGTCCTATAAATAGAAACTTACGGGAAACGGAAGGTGCTGCACCAAACAGGACACGACCCCCGCCGGTGCTCCGCGCTCTTCACTTTCATCCAATTAACATCAATAAACCGTGATGACAAAATAATCAAAATCGCGGAAGATGATTTAATAATATAAATTGAAACATTCAGGAAAAAACCCTATGCCTAAAAAGAATGGCGGACACGACGCCAATTTTAAAAAGCGTGCTTTGCTTAAACAGACACGTGACATTTCCGAATTTAAAAATAAAAAATGCGATAATTTTTAAATTAAATCGAAAATGAGCTTATTTACAGTCGATTGAGGACCGGGGCGGTATTGTTTAGGCGCCGAAACGGGAACATGTGCTCACGATAGATAAAATGGACGCCGCCGGTTCTGAAAAAGCCGCGACGGCGTCGTCGGTTATAGATTTTTTTGGGGCTTTTCTTACCGATAACTTGTTTTTGGTTGGCCGTCTTAGGTTGTTCTGGCGCCTGTTCCGGTTCAGCCATGGTGTTAAGGGCCGGTGGGAAGATGTTGTCACTCCGCTACCACTCCAAGATGTTAACTTCCGTCCTGCTGTTCGAGTTGTTGCAGTCTTAGCGACGTTCAACTGGTTCCACATAAATATTAGACCGTAACGGCTGACAAACGACGTGACGTTAATACGGTATCTCTTTTTAACACCCGTTGAATACGCGAGACGTACGTCGTTTCAATTAGCGGAAAATAAAGCGCGCCTGCGCGTAACCAAGTCACAGAACGCGCGCTTCTAATTGGTGCATTTTTTTTGGGGAAATGACTGTTTTAAAAAGTATGGGAAATTCAAATTATAAAAATTTTAATAATTATTCATTTTAATCAAAATAACATTTATATTTGTTTATTTTAACTTCCAAAACACGTATTTATTTGTTTTGAGAATTCGTGTGATTAAAATTTGCTTATTAATGTTTGTTGTTAAATTTAATGTTAAATCAGCTTATTTTTTATTAGAAAAATTGTGTTTACTTCGAAGTTGAAATCTTAAAAATGTTTTTAATGTAAAGTAAAAGATAACGGTTAAACGCGCAAATTTTTATGAAACAAGTTACAGTTAGGCGTACGTGTCTTTGCATATTTTCGGATTGTGCGTTTTATTTCATTTCGCATAGCATTAGATAAAAGGCTTATTTTTAAACCAAGATAAGGATGAATGTTGCTTACAAAAATATGTCGCCAATTTTCTTATCTAACCACAAGTTGAAACAGTTCAAAATAAAAACAAATAAAACACTAAGCATGAATCTAAATACTAACAGGTTTATTTTCCTTTTAATAGTTAAATACAAGAAATTTAATTATATACCAATAATTTTCTTATGCTTCTGCAAGCATGATTATACATATCACATTTCCGCCGTTATAAAAAATAACATGTACACAATATATAAAATAAGGGGGAATTTTCCTCCTATCGAAGTACTTAGTAATCGTTACACAGTAACAATCATGCTAACGTCGCATAAAATTAAACGATAAAATGTCTAATAGTAACACATTTTCGTACAGATTAATCAAATAGGACATTAAGTCAAATTAACACGACCATACAAATTTTAAAAAATAAATTGATACTCTCCTGTACAAAAAGACACACTTGCACCAAACCATTCCAATACAAAAAAAAAAAACCGAAACATGGTAAATTGGATCAAAAGCGATATTTACAACAGATTATGTATCATTATTAAAATTCGCATAAGTTCATTTCTTTAAACATCATTGTATAGTTTACTTTTAGTAAATACACATAAAACAAATTTCACTAACTTACTAACATTTTTTGAACAGTACGAATTCATATTAATGTACTGGGTAATGGTACGAAATAAACAGAATTTTAAAAAAATATATAGTTATATCAAAACAGTATGAAATAAATAAATTTCACTATTTTTATAAAATGTAGTACGTTGAAGTGAATTATACAAATAATGCAAACATTAATTAACAACTCAATAGCATTTTGTTTTCTTCTTCAATGTACTAACTCAAAAGTCTAAGAAAATGTTGAGTTTCCTCCATTTCCTTATGGTGTTGACCGTCGCAATTCTTTTTTGATCAGTACAGCAACTTCTAGGTTCTTCTCTTAGCTTTTAGTTGATGTCGTTGTTTTGGTCCAGTGCTTGATCCAGTACCTATACTAAACATACCTATAAAAAGATAAAATTTATATATAAAAGATTGTTTATTTTTAAGAAAAACATAGTATTTTATAAATAAATGTATCACCAAGAAACTTGGAAATAACATAGAATAATTATATAAAAGATAAAATGCTATTTCCCATAAGTTTGTGATTAAGTAAGTTTTACTACTTCCAACCAAAAACGGTAAAATCTAAGAAAAATTTTGCAACAGTTCGTTCGTGACGTCACCCATGGGTAGCCAACACTTTGAATTAGCTAGCAAATAATCAAATGCTTAGTTTATTCTATTCGTGTTTTGTAACGTTGTTAGTTTGAGACTAGAACAGACACTAGACAATGAAAATGAAAGGGATGGTGAGATACTTGGAGAGGTATTTCAGGGCGATGGAGTTAGAATTCACATACCTGGGAAGATAGCAAGGAGACGGCCCATGTGAGGGATTATGTTTGATGTGTTAGTGAGGAGTGCAATAATGTACGGTTCGGAGGTTTGGGGATGGAAGAGGCAGGATATTCTGGAGGACGTACAGAATCGGTACTGGAGGTGGCTTCTACGTCTGGCGAGAGAAACACCGGGGTATATTGTGAGGGAGGAAATAAAGGTGGAGGAATTGAGGGTGGAGCAGAAGAGCTGTTAAATATAAAGAAGTGATAGACAGAAGACCATACTGTGGGATCTTGGGGCAGTGTTGGCAGGAAGTTAGGGAGGGGAAGAGAGAGGAGGGAATATTGCAAAAGGACGGGTTATTCGATGGCAGAGATAAATTACAGAAGAGAGTGGAGATATAAGGGGAGGTAACCGACACGGATAGAGACATAGAGAGACAGGAGAGAAGGAAGATAAGAGTACAATGAAGGATATGAGGAGATAATGATAGAGGGGCTTCCAAAATACTTGGTGATGGTGAGGAGCGAGGAAGGGAAGAGACTGGTGGCCAGATTTCATTGTGGCAATAAGGAGAGAGTGAAGCTGTGCGGAGAGGATTGGGAGACGCTAGAACATATATTGGGAGGATGTAGTGAGCTGACAGAGGAAGAAAGGAACCGGGGGCAGATTCTGGGGATGGATGAGGGAAGTGGTTGGGACGAGGTAGCAGGAAGGGAAGTGATAAGGGAAGTCAAGTATGGTTTTTAATGTATTAAACAAGAAATTATAAACACTTGTATGTAGTTTCAAGTGAGGTTGGTTAAACCACAGGTGGTATAACCAAAGCACTTAGGCCCCAGCGATCCCTTTGTACATCCTTACGGTTTACTTCGGCCATGTGTATGTATATTTGTGTATGTCGGTATAAGCTCCGCCCATCCCTGTGACGTCAAGGCTTATGTTGTCTATTCCATAATGATGCCATAATTTGGTTGTCGCTACGTCAAATCTTTTTAAATAAAAGTTTCAATATCTCGAAAACTAGGCAGTTTAAAGAATTAAAACCTTATGGCATTTTGCAACACCTTGTCAAAAAAAAACCTTATACTATACAGGTGTGTTTCATTTAAAAAACACACTCACCATGTCGTAACTCAGACTGCCGTCAAGATTTTTATTTTATTTCTACGCCAAGATATGCGGAAAATAGTTTCAAGTAACTTTTATTTAAAACTTTTTTTAATATAAGTTGAAGTTTAGGCTGTAGAGCCATTATTCCATACTTTTTGTGCACTCTATATTACAAGTACTTATTTGACAATAAAAACTTTTAATTAACCAACACTAGATGAAGAACTAGAAACATTCGGGTTTAGCCGTTTTATGAGATGCATGGCTAAACCCGAATATTTCTAGTTCTAGGTCTAGTGTTAGTTCTACTTTTAGTTCAATAAAAATATACAACATCAATGATTGAGTATTGGAGAGAAAAAAGAAATGGAATGAGCACATCGACCGAATGACAGAAGAACGAATTGTGAAAATAACACGGGCCAAATCACCATCAGGATGAAGAAGGATTGGAAGACCTAGCAAAAGATGGAGTTACAACCTTCCAAACGATTAGGGGGCAAAAAGTGAAAAAAAAAACAGGCAGTTATGCTTAAATACAGAAGGAAGAAAAAATATATACAAGAATCCAGCCCTGAATAACAACTAAAAGTAGAACTAACACAAGACCTAGAACGAGAAAAACTCGGATTTAGCTAAACCCAAAACTTTCTAGTTCTAGAGTTCTAGGTCTAGTGTTAGTTCTAGTTCAATAACAATATACAACAATTTAACGCTGAACAACTAAAACAAGAACTAACACTAGCACTAGAACCAACACAAAACCTACAACTAGAAATATTCGGGTTTAGCCGTCTTAAGAGACGCATTAAACAAAGACACACCAAGAACACAACAATAACTGTCTAAGCGTGACACATGGTGTGACGTATTAATCATATACTGACGTCATATCCTGGTTTACAAATAAAAAAAAAAACAAAGAATGTAGTAGCTCTTTTAGATTCTACCGTCCTTGACTTTAAAACTACTTTATAAAAATCTATTTTACACCAAAAAATAATTAATATAATTACCTGCAGTCGGTGTTCCAAATTGTGGTGTGGTATTAAAACTTCCAGGAACTGAATTCGATCCAAAAGTAGTACCTCCAGTTCCAAAGCCAGAAGTATTATTATTACTAGCTGAAAAATTACTTTTTTGATCTGTGCTACCAAAAGCGAATACTCCACTTGTATTATTAGCTGGTGTGGTTGTATTAGATCCGCCAAACGAAAAAACTTGTCCTAAACCGCTTGAAGTATTGTTTATTGGGTTTGCTGCACCAAAGACTGGAGGGGCGGCATTATTACTACCGCCGAATTGGAAAGTTGAATCGCCGGAAGCTCCAAAGCCGCCGGTACTTGGAAGTTTTGGAAATGTTGTGGAATCGCCGTTTCCAAAACCACCAAAGTTAGAGGTGTTAGCAGGGGTGCCGAAATTATTATTGGTTGTTGAGGCACCAAAAGTATTATTGTTACTACCAGAAGCGTTAAACGTATTATTGTTGCTGCTTCCAAATGGTGGGGGAGCTTGGTTGTTGTTTCCGCCGAACGACGTGTTCCCGCCAAAACTTGAGTTTCCTCCAAAACCACCCGTTGCCGCCCCAAAAATGCTCGTGGTGCTATTTGTGGTTGTCGACGTTGTGGTTGACGTGTTTGAACCAAAACCATTTGAAGGGAATGTTGTTCCAAATCCAGGTTGTTTATTATCAGAAAATCCGGGTGGATTTGTTGTTCCAAAATTAAATGATGGGGGATTAAATCCCGAGTTGGTATTATTTGATCCAGCATTAAAATTAAACGCTTTATTATTAGTACTTGGAGTAGTAGTGGTGGATGTGCCTTTACCGAAAAAGCTTTGATTTGTGAAACCACCGCTAGTATTCGTTCCAAAAGTAGTATTTGCAGTTGTTGTGGTTCCAAATCCTGTATTACCAAATACGGAGGAGGCTGCTGTTTGCGGTTTTGATCCAAATCCATTATTATGTCCACCAAAAACAGTATTTGCTTGAGATACTGTCCCAAATGTGTTATTATTTCCAAATCCAGGTGCCGCGGTTGAAGTTGCAGGAAAACCACTGGTTACATTTGTATTACCAAACGTTTGCAAAGTCGAAGGTGCATTGCCAAATTTGTGAACGTTGTTTCCAGATCCTCCAAAAACTGTAGAGCTGGTACTAGTAGTAGCATTGAACGACGAAGATGTCATTACTGGTTGTCCAAAACCACCAAAAGTAGTATTTGTTGATGGAGTTCCAAACGAAGCAGCTGTTGTTGATGGAGCTCCAAATCCATTTCCGCCCAAAGTAGGAGAGCCAAAATTATTATTATTCGTTGATCCAAAATTAAAAGGCGGTGAAGCTATCTTTGAATCAGATGTTGTAGGTGTTCCAAAAGCGCTGGACGTAGACGTACCAAATGTTGGAGTTGTAGTCGAAAATCCTGACGTTGTACCGAACGCCGAAGAAACAGTAGTTGCTGTAAATCCTGATGTAGTTGTAGCTGTGCCAAACACTGATGAAGTCGCACCAAATCCAGTTATAGCATTACCAGCAGATGCAGTACCAAATCCAGGCGTGGCAACTACTGTACCAAATCCAGTTGAAGGCATTGTTGAACCAGTTGTTGTAGAAGTATTTAAACTAAATGTAGGAGTAGAAGTGGTATTTGAACCGAATATAGAAGTAGTTTTATTCGTAGCGTTTGTAGTTATGGTACCAAATCTAGTAGAAGTAGTTGTTACTCCAAAAATCGGCATAGATTGGGTTGTTTTTGCCCCAGGATTGGTCGAAGGTAATCCAGACGTTATTCCAAAACTTGGAGCTGATGCAGTTGATGACGAAATTGGTTTTCCAAATGTTGTTGAAATTGAAACGCCGCTGCTCTTATTTTCTATAGTGGGTGTTCCAAAAGTTGAAGGCGGCGTTAATCCAAAAATGGGCGCTACACTGTTCGCATTTTGAGAGGTTTTAAAAGATGTATTTCCATCAAAAGTAAACATCGACTGAGTTGTGGAAGTTTGAGTATTTGTAGTACCAAAACCGCTTAATGAAGTGGTCGTTTGTGGAATAGTAGTATTTAAATTAAATGTTGGAATAGATGAGTCATTTTTGTTATTACCAAAAACTGGTGGATTCTCTTTAGATTTTGCAGGTTCTTTAACACCAAATGTAGGTGGAGGTGTTGGAGTACTAACCATTGGTAATTTTGAAGCACCAAAATTAAATGTTGGTTGAGAATCTGAAGACTTTACGGTGGATGTAGTTGAAATTGGAGCAGAAGTATTTGGTGGGGTGAGATTAAATTTAAATCCACCGGTAGATTTTTTAGGGGTTTCCATGTTATTTGATGCAGGTGTTGTACCAAAAGAAAACGATAGATTTGTAATTGGATTTGAATTAATTGGTTCATTCGATTTTACACTTGTCGTCGTTACCATTGTAGTTACAATAGGCGAAGCTAATGTACTTGTAGTTGTTGTGATTGTTGATAAAGATGCAGTTGTAATTTGTGTTGTAACTTCAGGTTTTAATGAAATTAAACCAGTACTAACATTTGTATTATTTTTCTTTGTTTCTTCTTTAACCTTTTCATTAATTTTTTCAGTTATAATAGATGCTGAACTACTAATTGATTTCACTTCGGGTGTTAAATTGAAATGAACATGTTTATCATGTTTTACTTTATTCATAGGGGAAAGAATTCCAACTAATTTCTGCTCATGATTCGATTCTTTATCATTAGATTTTTGCTCATTTTTGTCATTCTCTTGAATTATATTTGTTTTTTCGCCAGTTAACACTCCAAGCAAAACTGCTAATTTATTTTTACGTTGTACTTCCAATTTATTTTCATCAAAAATAATCGATTGTTTTGAAGATTCATCTTCTTCCATCTTACCATCAGATTCTTTAGGATCTGGGGATTTAATCTCAATATTTTTTTCTGGTAATACTTCAGATGGGCGTGGATCAACTACTTTTTGAATTATAATTTTAGGTTCTATATTAACTGTTTGCGTTTCTGCATTAGAAAGCGTCGTATGTCTTTTAGCTCCTAATTTAATTGGTTTCTCAATTTCAACTTCTGATTTTCGTTTAAGGGAGTTTTGCATTTTTTCTTTGAATAATTGGGACGACGTGAATGAAGCGGCTAAAACATCAACCACACAAATCTTTTTAGATTGGTGAGAAGTCGGAGAGATTGCGTTAGAGCTATCTGACGATTTTGGAGAATCTTCTCTCGCTCTTTTATTTGTTTCAAATGTTCCATTATCGGGTTCGGTTCGTTTTTGTCTTTTACATGACGCTTCGGGCGTAGATTCAAATTCCTAAATAAAAACAATACATTAATTTGGTCTAAAATATTTATTTTATTAATCTTACTGAATCAGTGTGAATTCTTTTCCGGGAAATCTCTCTTAGAGCATCTAGAACACTTCTTGTTTCTGTTTCAGAACTGTTTACTTGAGGTGTATGATGTCCATTTCTTGTTTCATTAATATTAGGCTTATTAAATTTTGTTTTATTATACCAATGTACATCTGTGAGTAAATAAATTTAAATAAACACAAATTTGCATCACAATTTATAAAATAATATTCTTACCTGGAGAAGCCAATCGTACCATAACTTTCTTTGGCTTAGGAGAAATAACAGGAACATCTTTTTTAAAAAAATGCACCACTGGGAAAATACCCGGACTTCCATACCTAGTTTGATGGGTTAGGGTTTGGTTATCTCTCGTTTCATTACTATATTGAACAATTCTACTAGACAAACCAGGACTTTTTGCATCTGTGTAAGCTACTAAATTAGAATAATTATGTTTTGATGATTTTGTTAATGGCGAACTTTGTGGTTTTGGAGTACTTGTTGGTCTATTTGGAGCTTCGGACAATGAATATCTAAAAGAAACAAAATTAGATTATTTTGATGATTCATTAAATTTCATTCTTACCGTGGTGGTCCCCGTAAAGGTGTTAATCTAAGAGGCGAAAGTGATGAATTTGACATCCAAGTTTTTTGAGACGATATAGGGGTCGATGTGATACCATTGAAAACGGTTTTTCCTGTGCTAGTGGTACCGTTTCGTAACGTACTGGACGTCGGTTTGTTCGAAGACATCGCAACACACTGATAAACACTAAAATTTTCTACTAATCGTTAATTACACAATACTATGAGTATTTTAACGTCTTTTTACAACGAAACGAGACTTAACGAGTTCCTAACCTTCAAACGTGACGCATTTGCGCATTACCAACTATGAAATGTTAAACTAACTATTACCACTCTTAATTCCACATAAATAAAAACTACGTTTAATATTTTAATTATATAAATTTGTATGTAATGATGCTTATCACAAGAAATTGTATGCAATATTTTATAGAAATATGTTTTTTATATTTCTAGTGGCAATACTGTCATTCAAAATTCTAACCTTACTATCTTATGAGTAGAAATACAGCATGAGTTGTATTACATTATAAAACTTTACTTTGAAGTAAGTATCATCAATTACTTTATTTTTTATTTATCATGATCTTTATATGATTACAGGATATGGAATACTTACTAGGGGTGTGTAACTCTTCTAATAATTCTACAATTAATTGTTGGAATTATACAACTGGAAATGTTGAACATGTTTATTCAAGTAAACATAAAGCATTAAATAACAGTTTGTGTTTACTACAAAAAGATTACGTTCTAATAGCAGAATTAAATAAACCATTATTACATTTATGGTCCATCAACAGTCAAGAATCACAATTAAGATTGATATTGCCTGATAAAGCTGAAGCAATATGCATTGATAATACATGTACGTACTTAGTAGTTGGAATAGGAGTAAGTGTTTATATCTGGATGATTTGCTCAGGAGAGTTATTAAATGTTTTACAAAAAAATTATCAACCTATATCTTGTATAAAAATTTCTAACACTCAACATATTGTGATTGCTGGAAAGGATGGTATCCTTACAACATATAATTTTGATGATGCAGTCTCGAAGATAATAAATAGAAATTCTGAACCTTTATATGTCAAAAATGATCATGCAGATGCAATAACTGATTTGGATATTGGTCTATTTGGGAGTCATTCTCGTCTGGTTTCAGTGTCCTTGGACCAAACTTGTAGAATGTATGATTTAGAAAGTGGGGACCCATTGCTAGTGTTTGCATTTAACTCCCCCTTAACATCAATTGTATTAGATGCTACAAGTTGGAATGTTTACATTGGCGACAATAATGGGAAAATAAATGTTATTGAAATAAAAGGTGATATAAAAATGCAACACATAGACGACCATGAAAACGCATTTGAAGGCCACTCTAAGAAGATCACATCCATGGATATAAATTTAACTCATAATTTATTAGCAACCGCTTCAGAAGATTGTTCTATTATCATTTGGGATTTAAAAACGCGGAAGCAAATTAGAGTTTTTAAACAAGAATTACCACCTTCGGGGTTATTATTTATTTCCGGTCATAGTAATATTCATTCAAAAACGTTTACTCCTAAATTACAAGTACAAGGGTTAAAGAAAACACAATTAGACGATTTGGGAACAGTGTTTGTTGTTCAAAATGATGATATAAGCATTGATGAGAAATATAATAATGTAATAATGGGTGGTTTAAGAAGTTGTTCGAATAATAATGTAGAAGAATTGGAAATTGTTAATAAACAATTATATGAAACGCTAAATATGATAATTAAAAAGAAATTCGGAACAAATTAATTTAATCATTTTATTCAATATACAATTTTTATACAAAACAAAAAAAATACTGGGTTACATTATAATCAATGTATAGCACTATTAGTCATGCTTACACTTTGTAATCTGCTTCCATCTTGAAATATAGGTAAAGCAGAGTCTCTTAATACCTAAAAAAATTCTTTTTTTATATTTAATTTGATAAGGAATAAATAAATACAAACTGAAATGTGCGAGTCCATTTCAATAAGCGCTTTATCAATCCACTTCAGTGATTTTCCTTTTTGTTCACACTCATATCTCGCAATTAGGGCTAAATGAGATACTGCAAGAGCTAAAGCTGCTGCTCTAGCTTCTAATAAACGAGGATCTAATGGTGGATACATACTTCGTACCATATCATCAACTCTACTTGAAATTTTTCTGGCACTCTAAAATCAATCAATTAAATTTAACTTAAATTAAATACTACTTCTTACCTCAATAATTTGATTTAATCCAGATCCTGACGTTTGTGTAGCACTCATAGCCAATCCAGTTAAACGTTCAGTTAAAGATCTACAAGTTTTTAAAATCGATAAACAATGTGGAATTAAACCTGTTGCGTCGTCAATCCATTGTTCATCGGTTAAAATTTGTTCAAGATTTGGGTATAATTCTGTTGTGTCAATTTCTACTTCTGATTTATCTGGTTCAATAAGCATTACTTCGGGTCTATAACGTTTTTTTTTATAGATAATATATTAAAATTTTAAAGATTAATAAGTATAGTACTTGGCAAAATCTTCTTGGCTGGCACAAAACGTAGATTTATAATAAAACACTCGTTGTCGCCTACATATAACGACTAATATTACAAAAGCGCTGATAAAAATCGCCGTAAGCACTCCTATGGCAATCGCTGCCATCATCTCTGTGTATTCCGAAGACATTTTTACGTACTTGTTAAGTTCTTGGGATTAACGAAAATTAACACCTTTTAACATTTGGTATCACCAAAGAGATGAACCGAAAAGACATCTAGAACGCAAAAAAGGTTGTATCTTTTTTAGATGGTGTTTTAACTACGACATTTTATTAAAAGCGATACACTATAAAAGTTGTTAAGAAATAAGTTTTGAGGTAATCGTATATGCGTTGTAAATTGGTTACGCGGTGGGTCTATCTATACTGTTTTCCTGCTACCAGCAGGAGCTACAGGTTGCTCTCTAAAGTTGAACCATAGTGGGGAATGAAATTAATATAACTTTTGAAGGTCAATTTATGTGTTTCAGCTTAAACTGATTATAAAGCATATTTAATTTAGTGTTAATATTAAAAACTTGATAATTGAAATAATTGGCAATATAAAATCTTATTTTTAAGCATAATTGGAAATATTAAAGAAATTTAAAAAAATCTTTGAAAACTTTGTATCTTTTTAATACAGTTAGTCCCAAAAGTCATCGTACACCAACGGTTTTTTATTTTAAATAGTTATAATTATTCATTTTAAACGGATTTGTAAGTAAAAAACTCTTAAACTCAAGAAAATAACAAAATAAATTAATAATTTTTCAATATTTTACAATATACAGCTCCTTGCCCCAATCACCTCCCTCATCCATCTTTTGCCCTCATCACCCTCTCCCAAAATCTGCTTCCTGTCCATCGTCTGTTCCCTCAGCACACTACAGAGAATGTAGCTGCTTAGACACATTATATAAAAGTCATTCGCGAACTACATGCGCTGTATGTTTTGGGTTTTGATCCTGTTAGAAGATCCAACTGTTTCCAAGGCTTAGTTGTATAGCGTTTTGTTTTGGCCTTTAAAGTATTTAAATATTTCCATTTGGCCATTATATTATCAATAAAAACTAAACTCACGACTCCTGGAGCAGCCATATCCGCACAGCATAACAGATGCAGCCCCGTGCTTAACTGTTTTGGTAGAAGATTTTTTAAATCTAGCGCTGTACCGGCTTTCCAGATTCAAAAATGTTGTATTTTGACTCGTCTGCAAACATCACCCTTTTCCAAAAATGCATATCCTTTTCTTTATGCATTTTTGCAAGTTTCTTTCGCGGTACTCGTCCGTTATAGCCGGCAGATCGCAACAGTTTCTGCACTTACAGTTTTATTAACTTGATTTTTAAGGTGTGTAGCTATTTTTGGGATCTTTGTCCGAGGATGTGCAATAACTTCTTCTGTAACATTCTGTAATGCTTCGTGGATCTCGGGGAGTTAGCAATTTTGGACAGCCCGTACGTGGTTGTAAACTTTTTCATTATGTACTGATGTACTGAATAGTAGAAGCATTTTTGTCAAGTATTTTAGCTATTTGACCTATTATGCAATTTTATGACAATTTTTCTAATTTCTACGCCTCTTTCCGTTCTTCGGGGTGGTCTGGGGTTTGTTTATGTGATAAATGGAGTGCAACGATTGCTGGTAGGTTAGGTAAGGTTAGGAATTTAAATGTTTTTTTATTTACAAATTTACAAATAAAATAATTATAACTATGGTAAATAAAATAAGTTTTATATACGATTGTTTTAGAAATTTTGTAAAAACCATTGGTGTACGATGACTTTTGGGACTGACTGTATAATTTCATAATTTTGCTTATCATGTTCTATATACTTGAGCTTTTGAGTGAATTAATAAAAAAACGTCTGCATTAATAAAATTATTTTGCAATAAATTTTATTTATTTATTTTTGAATAAAATATTTTTGAATGATAGATGGCAGCGGTGACTGTATTCCAAACATAACCTTAAAAAACCATCAGATAAGGTTATGTTATTTTCTTAAATATTATTTAAACTTTACAAAAAAATGTCGTCTAAAAAAAGTAACGATACAGAACCTATGGATGTAACGGAAACAACCAGAGCTAAAATTGACTTTGATAGCTTTTCTAAGGTAATTTTAAAACATTTTTAATTTTGAGGTTATGTTTACGACATGTGAGATTTTTACAAAAAAAAAGGGGGGTTTGTGTGTTGATTTTTGATTATTACAGTCTTATAATTTAAAATTTTAAGTGGTAATGTTCCGTTTTTTAAAGGATGGTTATAAAATGGCTTCAAATGGCATCAGAAATTCAAATGCTCTTCCGTCCGGTACAGATTTTAATTTCTATCAAATAAATGAATCGTTTAAAAAAATTATGACAGACGAAAGTAATCGGTTATTAAATTTAATGAATAACATCTTAAAAACGTATAATATTAACGACAACATAAAAACAAAAAGCCCTGAAGAAAAGATTGAATTAATAGTTGAAGGTAACGATATGATTTTGGAACGAGTAGGTGATAATATCGATGAAATGAATGGAATTAAAAAGAAAAATCTACAACCGGTTGAAGTACAAAACGTTGTGCAACATATACCAATTAATGGTGCTTGGAATAAAACAAATAATAAATTAATGAATATTAATACAAACTCACCTGTAAGTATTTGACATTGAAATTTTGTTTTAAGGTTAAAAATCCGATTTATTTCTTTATTTAATTGTCAATTGATTTAGGCCGAGAAGGCGAATCTTCCAGTTGCGGTACATCTCCTAACAGGAAAGAACATAATAAGACCACAAACGTATTTTAAAGACAAAATTGACAACAGCAATAATTATCCTTGGCAACCAAGAATCACAGATAAACCAAATTCAATAAAACCACTAGCTTTATACTTGGAAGAAACTGAATTTGGTGAATCTTATTGTCATCCGTACGAAATGGAACTTGATCAATTCCAACCTACACCGGAACAATTACTTAAACAAAAACCCATTGTTCCTAAATCCCTTGAAGATACACCTTTACATGAAATCAACACAGTAGAGGATTTAAAAGAATTGGTTGAGAAATTAAGATCTTATAAAGTAATTGCTGTTGATTTGGAACATCATTCTTATAGGAGTTTTATGGGAATTACTTGTTTAATGCAAATTTCTACTATTGAGGATGATTATTTAATTGATACACTTTTGTTAAGGGATGAATTATCAATTTTAAATGAAATTTTTACAAGACCATCTATTGTAAAAGTAAAAAAAAATTAATTCATAAAACGTGAAAAAATTTAAGAATTTTTTTTATGATTATTAGGTTTTTCATGGAGCTGATTGTGATGTTCAATGGTTACAAAGAGATTTATCCTTGTATGTAGTAAATATGTTCGATACTCACCAAGCTGCTAAACAACTCGGTTATTCAGCACTTTCTTTAGCTTATTTATTACAACGATTTTGTAAATTTCAACCTAATAAACATTTTCAATTAGCCGACTGGCGAATACGGTAAAATTTTAACCTTTTATTCGAAAAAAATATTAATTAAAACATTTTTTAGACCGTTACCAGATGAATTAAAAACTTACGCTCGCGAAGATACTCATTATTTAATATATATTTATCAAGTTTTGAAAAATGAATTATTAAAACAGGGTAATAAAGGTGCAGATAATTTGCTTTTGTCTGTTATTCAAAAAAGTACAGAAGTTTGTAAAAAGGTCTGTTTATTAAATGATAATTAATTAAAAAAAATGTAATGTAACATTCTTTTTATTTTTAGAGATATTATAAGCCGATTTTAAAAGAAGATAGTTATTTGGATTTTTATAGAAAATGTAAAAGAATGTTTGATAATCGCCAATTGTATGCATTAAAATTCTTGTATAGTTGGCGAGATAAATTGGCACGAGAAGAAGATGAGAGTTTGCAGTAAGTGAAGAAACATCAAAAATAATTTGATTTAAAATAATTTTGTATTAATTTTAAGATACATTTTACCCAATCATATGTTACTTCAAATATCAGAGCTTCTCCCAAAAGAAATGCAAGGAATTCTTGCATGTTGTAACCCAATTCCACCATTGGTGAAATCAAATTTATTAGAAATGCATCATATAATATTAAAAGCCAGAGAACAACCTTTAGTAAAAGTAAGAATTAAAAAATTTTAAAAAATGCTATAATTAAGTCATATATTTTTTAATGATTTTAGCCCATTATGAAAGAAAATACACGCACTTCTGGTAATGTACAAAATCACAAAATCAACACGTCGAATCCTCTTCATTGTCCGCATGATTGGACGTATCAACCTGATTTTAGGGATGATTTACCAACCTTATTAAATAGTAAAACAGAATTTGATTTAGAACATAAAAATGAAAAATTAAAGTTGGAACAAAAACTTAGTAATCATTCCACGTTTAATTCGAATGATACGCCGAATTTGGATGGTTCAAAAAAGGTGTCTTTAAGGATTTTATCACCTTATGAAAGATATAAATTGGTGAGGCCTTTCGTTGAAACTGAAGAGGCTAAGAAAAAACTTAAGCAAGATGAAAAAGAGTCGCTATCTAAAAAAGAACCCACTTAATTTTTTTGGGTAATTATTATTTTAAATATTTTTTAAGTAAGATATTGTTTTTTCAATAAAAAAAGTTTGATTATAATACTTTTTTATTCCCCAAAGCATTTTATTAATGTTTTATTTTATTTCGAAAAAAAAACGTTAATTTTTGAGTTTGTAAGGTTAGGTCTTCTAAAAGAAAGTGGAAGAGATGAGAATATTGTCAATACTTTTTTATACATAGCTCCACATCAATTGGTATGTTTTGAATAATGAAGACAAAATGATTTAAATGTAATTTATACGGAAGGATATGGTTTTTTATACCTTTGATATATCTTCTTCAATGGCTGGAATTTGATGGTATACTAGAGTATAGAATTTGGCGAGAATTATGAAAAAAATAGATTGGCTCCTCCATCTACGTTTACCCTTAGGCTGTCTGCCAGATACGTCCATTAGCATAGTGATCTTTGAAGTCTACAGCACTGATGGAAAAGCTGTGTGTATTTCTGGTGAACACAGAGCACAAAGAATATGGAGTATTATGAAAAATTTCACCATAACTCAATGTTAGTTAGATAGTACTATCAATCTTGTTTCCCTTTTTTACAATAACGTAATGTAAAGATAAGAAACTATAAAAAATTAGCATGAAACATATGATACCTTGCTTTTTAGAGATAATTATTACGTTATTAAAAGGGTATATTAAGTGCTGAAAATCTTGATGCAATAAGATACATAAAGATAAATAACAAGTAAATGTGCGGAAAGCACAATGTTTTAAAACGTGATGTTTATTGTAAAAATCTCTCACAGTAAATTGTTTTAAGATTACATCAAGTACTTAAAGTGAAACAAAACTAATAGGTTGCGAAGTTGTTTGTTTATATCTTTCGTAACGCTCGTCAATCAATTGCATTTAAGTAACGTATGTAATACATCTGAACTATATACAGTGAACATATAGTAGGTCAACGCACGCTAAAGCCAAACAATCGAATCCACTGTTAAAAATTGATTGAATCTGGGAAGAATATAATAATTATTTAAGTGAACGCTAACTTGCCTCAGGATCTTCTTGAGTATCAAGAAAATGAACACAGGAATGATGTCATTAAGGTTGTTTCCATGAAACCGGATATACTTTTAGTATGATACAACTGTTCACAGTATGAGTTCACTACAAAAGCAATGAGACAAGCAGGAATAATATAATGCGCACACTAATAACAGCAAACTTGATTGTTTCGGACTTAACAATAATAATTATTATTTATGATATGTACGCATTTGAGTAAACTATAAATGCGGAAAATGTCATTGAAATCACTTCCCAAGAATTTATATGAGCTATAAAACTCAGGCTTCAATCTCAAATTTTGTGTTGCGTCTAATATAATGGTAATTAACACCATCTCCAGCTTTTTAGTTCTATTTCACTTAAGCCAGCGCTTCACGTAGCAGCCGACTGCTATGGCAGTAACTACAGAGGCGGGGTGGTTTTAAATTAGCGTCAAAATTTACGTGTAACATGTCTATTGCCATAGCTGTAGCTCTCTAGTCTTTTATCACTGATAAACTAATTTTCTACTTATGTATAGCAGTAGCGTTACACGCCAACTTGACGCTAACAGTGAAACAACGTCCACTGTCACTTATTGCCATAGCAGTCGACTGTTACGTGTAACGCTGGCTTTAATCAGCAAGATGTCTATTTTATTGATTACAGTGGTAATCTTGTTAGTTTTATATTACACTTGAGCCATATGAGCACACACGCTCCTCCTGTCGGCAAACTACGACAACACACTAAACATACCAGGTGAGATCTTGGCGAAATGTCTGCTCCTTTCCAAAGGAAACCAATAGGAAGAACGGATGAAATCTCAGATCGACCACAACAACACATACTTCCCCATCCGTGAAGCACTACGCACTAGTATTGGCACTACCAATACATATTATATAATAAGATATTTTCTGGCAACACATCAAGTACTAAACCAACCCAACCCAAGATGTAATGCACGTTTCTTAGGTTCAATACACACGTGCCATTAGCGAATATGCTAAGTTGGTTTTAAAACTACAGCTTTAATTGTTTTCCATTATAATTTACATATTATAGGCGATGAGATAAATATGAACTCGCAATATGTGTGCTTCTCCTATTCAAATTTGATATAATAGCTTCTCCAATAAGAAATTATGGTTTACTATTACAGATTGTGGAAAGTCTGCGTTTTCAGACGCACAGAAGCTAAAAAGTGATCTAAAATATCTATATCACTTAATCATCCAGGAGACTCTATCACCCATCTCCTTCTGAACAGACACTGCGTAAGGCTTGAATCTCACTGTGAAAAGCGAGAAAACCATAAAAGCTGAATCTAACAATTGCATCAACATGAACCATCTTAGATGTGACTAAGTTATCATAGTTAATTACAAACAAGTGTTAGAAGAGCGTATAGACTTAATACACTTACTAATTGGGCTAGTTGTTCAGACCCATAAGAAAACATGAAAAGTGGTGTAACTCTTCTCATTTAAAACTTGTTACGAAAATTATCACACAACTCTTCTATTCGATTTTTAAAAGAGTACAGAAAGGTAGTAAATCCTTAGGCCAGGATTAACTATTATGTCATTACACTCATTACCCACAAAGAAACGATACTCACAAAATACTATTACATCAATTATTCTTAACCACTGACTGCCAAATGTTCTCAAAACCTACTGCCGTATTTGTTTTTTCGCTATAACCTACCATTGTTTATATAAATGCTTCATCGATGTAGCATACCAATTTCTTTTAAATACCAACAAATGATCATAAGACTTCATAAGATGGCACACTTTTCAAGCTATATTTTCTTTATTATTACATTTTTTGTTACCTAACTGGTTTCGGCTAGGGCCATCATCAAAGATAAATGATATTCTAAATGACACCTCAAGCTATTGAACACGTTGAAATGTATGTATATCGTAAGATTTAGGTTATTTAAATTTTACAGAGTTTAGAATAAGGTTGTTCATATAGTCTTCGTTAAAGAAGAAGTAGAATACGATTTAAATTTGATAGCCATATTCCTCACCGCAACTAATTGTGAGAAAGTTGAGTGTAGACCACCCAACTTAATTAAATAAAACTTAAGTTAACAGTTAATACTTTAATTGTATACTGTGAAGTTGCATTTAAATTTATTTATGGAATATCACATAAAGAAATTTTATTACTCAGAAAATTCTTAAACTTTAATTTAATAATAAAAATTTCTTCATTTTTAAAAATAAAATGTCGATAAACATTTTTTTTTCAATAAACTTAAAGATTTATTGATCCATCCTAAAAGCTGCGTTGGATGCTGCGTTTCTTAGCAACGAATTACATTTCCCTCATAGAGTCCGATCATAAATGTTTTAATACACGCACTATTTTTGGTCTCCCAAGAAAACATCTGTGTATTTAAAAAAAATTTAAACACAACGGTAATTATAGAAATTTATAGATAATCGTTTAATTCATAGAAATTATTTTCGAACGATTTTATATTTAGTTTTCCGTTTAAACATTTTTCTTTGGCAATTACGTGCTTACATAGTCTGTGAACTTATCAAATAGGGTCAAAGGTAATGAAATCTTGATAAAGTTCAATTCGTTGGTGAGCGAAATTTCTTCTCAGTGACGGGTTTAAAATTATTGAAAGATGTTCGAATATCTTTTAAATGTTATAAATTGGTTTATAAAGAAGTTGTATCAACCATGTGATCCGTCTAGTTTAGCTGTGATAAGGATTCTTTTTGGTAAGATTTTTTTAAATTAATTTTTTTTTATTAATTGGTTTTATTTTGTAGGATTTTTAATGGCGATTGATATAGTTGAGGAAAGAAGTGGTGGAAATATCGATATTATATGGGGTGAACCAAAAAATTGTCATTTCCCATTATTTCCTTTTATTCGCCCGACGTCACTACAATATATTAGTATACTTTATGGAATTATGTGGTTGGGTATATAAATGTTTAATAACAAGTTTTCGTTTTGGAATATTGGGTGTTTTAGGATCTTTGGGAATAATGTTGGGGTTTAAATACAAGTGGAGCTGTTTAATGTTCATTATTCCATATTGGTACATTTTTTTATTAGATAAATCACATTGGAATAATCACAGTTATTTATACGGATTAATTGGGTTAATTTTAACTGCAACTTCTGCTAATTATTTTTGGTCCATCGACGCGCTTTTAAATCCGGATATAAGCAACAAACAAATTCCGTATTGGAATTATTTCTTATTAAAATTCCAAATTTTTCTTCTTTATTTTTACGCCGGGTTAAAGAAAACCGATATGGAGTGGTTTGAAGGATATTCAATGAAAGATTTAGGATTGCATTGGGTTTTTGACCCACTAAAGTAAATTCGTTAAGAAATTTATACTTATTATGATATTATGATAATATTTTTTTAGGTTTATTCTTTCTCTAAATCAAATCGATTACATTGTGATACATTGCTTCGGATTTTTATTAGATTTAACAGCAAGTTTCTTTTTGATTGTCTCAAAAACGCGCCCTATTGCGTTGATTTTTGTGGGGACCTTCCATTTAGTAAATAGTCGCATGTTTAATATAGGTAAATCGTTATTATTCTTTATCCCTATTTAATTCAATAAATCAACAAAATTGTTTCGTTTCTAGGCATGTTTCCTTATGTTTGTTTGGCAACGTTGCCAATTTTCTGCCTATCTGATTGGCCCAAAAATCTATTAACAAATAAATTTAATTTTTGGAAAGAGACCAAAAAGAATAAAAATTGTTTATATGGTGGCAACACCATTGGGTTAAAAAAAAAATTTATTACATTTTTAGTTGTGATATATTGCGGACTACAAGGATTTTTACCTTACTCCCATTTTATAACCAAGGTAATATAAAATAAATCATAATAAAAATTTCAGGTGAAAAAAATCTTTTTTTTTCAGGGATTTAACAACTGGACAAATGGTTTATATGGTTACTCATGGGATATGATGGTGCATTCCTGGGATACCATTTTAGTAGTTGTTAAAGTTGTTGATAATCGTACGGGAAAAGAACATTTTTTGGATCCATCCGCTTGGACTACGAATAATCGATGGAATAAACACGCTGATATGGTTGTACAATACGCAGAATGTTTACAAAAAAATTTATTAACCGAATTACATGGTTCATAATCCTAAATTAATCAAAGATCTTAAAATAATCCCAATTCTTTTAGAGCAATCATTAAAACCAAAATCTTCAAGTCTTATCACAAAATACTTAACATCGAATGATATCTCAATTTACTTAGACGTTTGGTGCTCGATGAATGGAAGATTTCAGCAAAGAATGTACGATCCAAATTATGACTTATTAAAAGCAAATTGGTCGATATTTGAAACACCAGAATTTTTAATGCCTTTACTTAATGAATACAACGACTATAGGAAGATGATGACTGAAATTCAAAATCATGTTTATTCTTGGTCAAATTACAGTGATGTTCTTTTTATAGCTGATTTTCCTGGACTCTACCTCGACAATTACATTGCAGATAATTTAAGGAACGTTTCATTAACCGTTTTGGCCGGAGAAGTCGAATATTGCGACGATGAAGACGGAGAAAATATAATAAAATTGAGTAAAGGTGATAGAGTTAACGTCCAAAGTGGTGTTTTTCATAAAGTAACAACGATAAGTGATATACCTTCGTCTTATATGTATACTTATGTCAATAAAACTCAGGAAAATCTTAAAGAATCCGATCGATCAATAATTGGGAATAAACGAAAATTGTCTCCATTTCCCTTTATTGAAGAGAGCGGTGTATTTTTTGAAAATTTATATAAAATGTTTAGTATTATTTATAATTCTATACTTAATATGTTATTTGATGTTCCTATGGTTCGAAGAACGAAAATTCGATAAAATAAAATTTGTAAATTTATTTTAACAATTTTTTTTAATACTTTAACGTGTCAACGATGCTAAAAGGTGCCTCCTTTAACACTCCTTGTTTGCAGCGATATTGATAGGTTAATGGTATGATATTGAGGGATGTTAGATACGGTATTGAAGAATATATGGGACGATATCGATGGTTGTCAGAGAGCACATTAAATGCTATCTTGGGCGATACTGAGGAGTGCTAAAGATGACTCCCAAATACCTGGCTGAATCCTGATCAGCCAGGTATTATGATTATGATCAGGATTCAGCCAGGTATTTGGGAGTCTGGATATATTCAGAATTAAGATTGAGGAAGTTTGTGTCCTGCCTGGTCAGGAGGGCGTTTGCCAGTTTAAAGCTGTTATATTTACACAAAGCGGTTTTAAATGTCAAACTTAGAAAATTGTTATGTGAGTCATTTGTACTATGACATTTTAATTACTGTGATGCACTTTATCATTCGTTTATAGATCAAGTTAGTGTTGGTAGAATTCAGAGAGTGCAGAATAGTTGCTTACATTTAATCTATGGCATTAAACGTCTTCAGTATGTTTCTCATATGTTAAAGGCCGCCAATTGGCTAAATATGAGGAAGAGAAGGTTTTTACATACCGCTTTGTTTTTTCATAGTGTGGTGACTTGGCGAATGCCTCCTTACCCGTACTGTCGTATAACTTACCGAAGTCAGGTCGGTCGCAATTCCAAGGCATAGGACTCAACTATTTAAGAAATCATTTTCATGCAATGTTGCACAGTATATCATTGATCTTAATAGTTGCTTTTGTTTTAAGTCGAGATATGAATTTAAAAAGGCCGTCATAAAATATTTATCACCTATAAATATTTATAGGTGAGGGTTCGTTAGGTGTGGCAATGTTCGATGTGTTCAAATTGGTGAATTAGTGGTTCTGGTCAAAAGCTGTTTGAGGTAATTAGCTTAATCTATCTATATTGTTATCTATCTACATTGTTTGAAAGAAGTTTTTTTTTCGGGCTGCGTGGAGGAGTGGATCGTGACTTTGTTACGAGCCAAACGCAGTCCATTTGGTTGCAACCCCGTTCTATTGTAATATATATATAATATAAGTATATATAAATATAATAGATATATATGTTTATTTTTCTTTTTTATATATTCAGGTTTGATTTTTTTTAATGTTAAATATGTAAAGTATGTGGGTTGTGCCAAAAAATATTATTATTATTATTAAGGGGTATTTATGACGATGTTAAGACGTGTTGGGATGTTATTGATTCATTTATGATGTCGAAGTGTGACAAGGAGAACATTGTATTGGACGATATTAAGAATTACCAGGTACGATATTAAAGGATATCCGGGATGATGTTAACAGGTGGATGGGATGATATGGAGAGATGACAGGCATGATGTTAAGATACGTTTGGAATGAGACGATATTGAGAAATGCCCGATAAGGGATGTGCAATGTGATATTTATGTATGCTAAGAACTAATCGAATGGGACGATGTTGCGGAATGCCAGAAATGATATTGAAAGATGTCAAGAATGATACCGATGGTTTGAAAAACTTTTACTACAAAAGTTGTAGCAAATTGTACCCTTAACACAATGGTCTGTAACATTTTTACTCCCAGATGCATCAATGTAGAGAATTTTTCAAAAATATGAAAATTAGAAGAGTGTGAAAAAAAATCGGTATCCTGAACATAACACAGAAAGACTTTTACTACAAAAGTTGTAGCAAATTGTACACTAAACACAATGGTCTATAACATTTTTGCTCCCAGATGCATCAATATAGAGAATTTTTCAAAAATATGAAAATTAGAAAAGAGTTAAAAAAATCGGTATCCAGAGCATGATACAGAAAAACTTTTACAACAAAAGTTGTAGCAAATTGTACCCTTAACACAATGATCTGTAACATTTTACCTATGTGCATGAGATGATATTGGGAAACGATAGAAACTATGTTAAGGAATTTTCGACATGATGTTAAAGTGTGCCAGGAACCATATTGAACAGGACAATATTAAGGAATGCCAGAGATAATGCGGAAGGTTGTTAGAAACAGCAATTTGTGGTAAGGGAGTCAGGGATGATATTAAGGAATGTCTATAATGTTGTTGAAAGATGTATGATACTGGTGGATGACAGACAATGTTGAGAGATTTGAAGTATGCTAGTGACTAGATTGCATGGAAGGATATTGATTAATTCCAAAGATAAAATTGATGGTTGAGAAGAAAAAAAAAGTTTAATATGTTGTAACCTAAGTCAGATTTTCCTAAATTTTAATATATATTATGAGGTTGTGATAAATTTTAGATGTTTACATATTTTCTTAAATTTTGACAACTTTAGCTAATTTCTATAATATTTTGATAAGTTGTTTTTTTTATCATTATTTCAAAATAGTTAGCACATGACGACTTTATTATTATAGTAATTACAGTCTCTTCAGAGGAGGAACTGCAACATTCGAATGGGACAGAACTGCTTAACTTACGTTATCAGTTATCAGTATTGAAACTAGTTTTTAGTTGAACCCTAAAAATCTAATCCAAGCCATGGTTTACTAAAAATTTGTTGACTTTATTAAATAGTTCCTCTGTTACTGTTGGAAAGATAAGGTTCACATAAAATAAAACTTCAACGTTATATGATTGTCGTGAAAATGACAAATTAGGATTTGTTGTCTTATGACGTTTGCTTGTAGAGATATTTGAATGAATGCTAATGTTTGTAATTAGCGTGAATTAGTTGCAATGAAAATGGCCATTGCAAAAGTGATGCAATCGACATTATTAGGTATTGAGCTATGTTATGAATGGTTTTCGGTGAAACCTTGAAAACCATATTGAAAAGGGTGTACTTATGGTAAAATTTTACATCACTGTCAACTTTCGTTACTTTCATATTATACTAATAATGTTATGTTGCCAAGAAAATCAATTGAGCATTGTTTATTTTAAAACGATTAACAAAAAATAAATAAATATATAAAATGATAAAAGATTTTCTTTATAATGATTGCAAAAAAAACAAGTTAGGGAGAATCATAATTCTGTTATGAAGTAAAAAAAAGTTGTAGTACAACAAAATAAAGGTGGTAGGTATTAAAATGGTAGAAAATCAAATTACGGTGAAGTTGTGATAGAAGAAAATTAAGATGTGGTGAAACAAAGTTATGATGGTTCAAAACCAAGTTGTTGAAGCAAATCAAGGTTATTCGACCTGCCACGGTTTATCTAATGCCGAAGTATATACAATACACTCCCTCGATGTTTTTAGTCTTGAGGTTTTATATCCTTAGAAAATTTTCCACAATCATGTTTTTGCAACACGTAATGTTGCATCTTGTATATTTAAACTCAGGTTTATGTGGTAACTAAATAATTCTTAAGAAGATTTATGTTTTCAGGAATCATAAAAACTTTCATAGTCTATACAAATAACTAAGCCCACGTTTATAGAGTCTACGTCTTGGTAGAGTGGTGTAGTAAGTGCGGTGCCAGTTTTACACGGAAGGTGTCTCCTCTTCGCTTAGTTTCTAACATTAATGTGTACTATTGTCCAAAATGGAATATGGATTTGTAATTTGGTTACCACAATATATATGTATGTTATAGACTTATATGGTAAGATTTCAGAGGAGATTTCTCAAATATTGGTCTATACACTTGGACGGATCTTACCCTGATCGTGCAACGGATTATGCATCACTGCTAGAACGTCACAACTTTTCTGCACTGGACGTGAGAAGAGATGACCGGTGTGTCAAGGTTATGCAGAAGTTAGTACAAGCTGTATTGGATTGTGGTTGGTTGTTGTAGGCAATATTTTAGCCAACTTCCCGCTGCAGAGGATGTGTAAACTATCGAACAATAATAGTATAGGAGTGTTTATGTGAGTTATATTTGTTTTAGATATAATGCAAATTTCTACCAAACAAAATATTAACATCTGGCGGCTTAGGAATTTATCGAATCGATTTTGTTAAGCCGATGTCAAATTTTCGATAATTTCAGTTTGTTACGCAGCTTATCATTTCTATTATTATTTTATCCATGCTTTATAAATAAAAAATAATACACCATTATTTAACCAAACTGATACTGTAATACATGTTAATTATCGTTTATGAAATAAATAAACCAAAAACTTTTAAAAATAGAACTCCGTATTATTGGCACCGCGTCAGAATGTATTTAAAAGATTTTATTTATATGTTAATTTAATAAATGCGAAAAGAACCAGTGAAGTGCGCTTCTATTTAATAAACAAATTTGTTAAAACATCACAAATGGTTATAACCTCATATCTAAAAGTCTTACGTGTAAAAAGCCATGAACTATTTATAGACACAAGTTTCTAAGACAATTGTTCTTTTTTTAATCTAAGAATTTGATTCTTTCGCAACAAATTCAAAGTGTGCCATTAGAGAGACGTTGCATCGTAGTAGAAAGTATTGGGGTTGGGTGAAGACGAAGAGACCGCCAAGAGCGGTTATAGCAAAAGAGATGAAGAAGCAAAGATATTCTTCTGTTCCATTCATTCAAGATCGTTATCTCGGCCCTATTGAAGCCACGCCGTCCGTATATGGACGTTTTGGTGCCTTCGAAAGGAGGACTCGATGTCTGTGTTGCGCCGCGGCGATTTTGAAACTGTGTTACCGGCTTTTTAAACCCTAAAATTTCTTAACGAACGATTAAGTGGGCGTGTAATCTCTCACCCGATTCAATTCGTTATGGGAAATGACGTGATCTACATTTCACTTTTAACAAAAAATAAAATGTTTAACACTTAAAATTGTTTAATTTCATATTTAATGTAGCTTGAAAAGTTGAACGGGACATGTAATTAAAGGTGTATTGACACGAAACGATTTTCATAACTCGGAAGAGAGAATGCGTTAATGACTCGAACGACTTCTGGGAAAGTTACCGTAATTTCTTGTGCGTTGAAAATGCAAATTGACCCTACGTTTAAGTTATATACGACTTCCGCCGGT